CTAAAATAATTGACTTTCTCGCAAGTAGTAATGTTTTAGACTCAATTAGTAGACTTTCTCGCTAGTGGTAATTTTTTAAATAGACTTTCTCGCAAGTGGTAATGTTTCCACATTTATTGTAGATTTTTTCGCAAGTGGCAATGTTTCCACCCCTTATTGTAGATTTTCCCGCAAGTGGTAACGGTTTTGCCTCAAATTATAGACTTTCTCGCAAGTGGTAATGTTTTTGCTTCAAATTATAGACTTTCTCACTAGAGGTAATTTTTTAAATAGACTTTCTCGCAAGTGGTAATGTTTTTGCTTCAAATTATAGACTTTCTCACTAGAGGTAATTTTTTTAATAGACTTTCTCGCTAGTGGTAATGTTTTCACCCCTACCTTAGATTTTCTCGCTAGTGTCTATTTATTAAATAGACATTTTCGCTATATTCCATAATGATAACTGTAATTTAAAAAACTTTTTTAAAAGAAAAATATCTTCTTTACCGACTGCTGGACAGGTAAATTTCCTTTTTACCAACAGTCGGTAAAACAGTGATGAAAAAATGAAAAATCGTATTAAATCAAAATAATCATTAGAACATCAATAATAAAATGTTTAAAGTTATCTTTTTTTCCAAACTAAATGTTTATAGTTAATTTTTATTTTTCCTTAATTATTCAAAAAATTTTCTTCCGTTTGATCTTTTTCTAATTTTTCTCCGGCTCTCCTCTCTCTCTCTTTCTCTCTCGCTCTTTTAATTCCCTCTCGGTCGTTTGCTTTAGTTCTTAGGCATACGCGGGTAGTTGTACGTGCCTAGAAATCCACCCCTTTACTTTTTTTTACCCTCCAGCAGGTGGGGGTGGATCGCTTGAGTGAATACGACACGTACATATAAGTGCACGTTCCACAGGGGTGCACCGAGAATTTACAGAACTTTACTTATGCGTGTATATACATATGTATGCCTATATATATTTTTTCAGAAACAAAAACAGTATTTTGGAAAGGGGTAAGAAAGTTGAAATAGACTTTTGAAAAAAATAAACAAAATAAATAGTAAGAAAATTAAAAAATATCTTCTTTTTTTATTTTATTTTTTATTGTTATTATTATTATTATTATTATTATTATTATTATTATTATTATTCATTATTATTTTTATTTATCATTTTTTTATTTATTATCATTATTTTTATTTATTATTATTATTTTTATTATTAATACTATTGTTAATTAATATTGTATACTTAAAAAAATGAAAAAATAAATTCAATACTTCAAAATTCCCGCATTTAAATTCAATGCCAGAGGGCGCCATTGACTTTCTCACAAGTGGTAATATTTGAACGTTAAATTATAGTAATATTTGGAAAAGTAATAATATTTTTAATAAAATAATAACAATTTAAAAATTTAATATTTAAAAAATCCCGCCTTAGAATTAATTGACAGAGGGCACCGTTGACTTTCTCACAAGCGGTGGTATTTTTACGTTAAATTACAGTAATATTATGAAAAGTTATTGCAATTTTACAATTTTCCTTAATAAAACTGTAGAAAAAACAATTTTCAACTACTACAAACATTAATTCATAGTTATTATATAATAATTATTATTATAAATTAATAATTATTAAATTCGACTAAAAGGCAAACAAATTTTTCGTTAATTCAAATTAGTGAGCGAATTTTTACTCTATAGTAAAATTTATACTTAACAAAACGAGAAAAAATAAATTGAAAATTTGAAAAATCCCGCCTTTAAAATCATTGCCAGAGGGCGCCGTTGACTTTCTCACAAGCGGTGGTATTTTTACGTTAAATTACAGGAATATTAGGAAAATTATTAATATTATTATTTAAATAATAATAATAATTAATAATAATAATAATAATAATATTAATAATAATAATAATAATAATATTAATAATATTAATAATAATAATAATAATAATAATAATAGGATTAAAAAAATTAAACAATAATAAATTAAATATTTTGAAACTAAATAATTTTTTTTCTTTGTACAGTTTGTTTCAACTGAAAAATACTTATTCAATCTTTTCTTCATCTAAGTCAATCTTACGTAATTCAGGAAGAATTCGATCGGTTTTTGTTGTATACGCGTGGCTGAAATTGAGAGAGAGAGAAAGAGAAAAAAAATAGTGAGTGAGAAGGAGAAGGAAAAAAAAGAGTGTGGTAGGGTGAACTGATGAGGAGGTGAGGTGGGAGAGAGGGGGAGGGGGGAAAAGAGATTTTTAAGGGTGGAAAAGGTGATCGGCGCGTAAAGAGACGAGAATAGGGTGAGTTTGCTTCGATGCGTAAAAGTGCGTGATACTCGCACGTGCCTGACCTCTTGCATCAAGACATCCTCTCCTCCCCCCTCTCCTTCCTTGTTCTCACGACTCCCCCATCATTGACCCCTTATCCCCCCACCTCCAATATTCTTGTTCATTTCTTTTCGCTAACATATAGAAATTTTTTTTTTTAACTTTTCCCTCCCCTCTCCCCCTTTCCATTTTTTGTCACCCTTTTTTTAATATCCATATTTTTCTCCATCATTTCTTTTCTCCCCCTTTCTCCCCTCCCCCCCTACTTCCTTCAAACTCCTTTCTATCCTTATTTTTGTAAAATTCAAGTCTTTTATTATTTCACGCACTCGAGATTTTATATTTTTCCGCGTTCCTGTATTATAAAAGAAATTTAGAAGAAAAAAAAATTATCAATTGAAAAAAAAAATTTAAAGTGGAAATTTTTTTATCGAAAAAAAAATAAAACAAAGATAAAATATTAAATATTTTTCTTTCGTTCTAATAATTATTTTTCATTATTAATTTCTTTTAATTCTTATAAGAGTTTAAAAATAATAAAAGAAAAAAATCTTTTTCTGTTTATCTCATTTTTTTACCGTAAATTTCTTCTTTCTTTTAATTAATTTATTTATATTTCCTTTGTTTCTTTTATTTTATTGATATTTTATTTATTTAATTTTTTTTCTGTTCGTTTCAATTGTTTGTATTTTTTTTGTATTTTTTTTATTTATTTATTTTTTTTATTATTTCTTTTAATTTATTCATTTGTATTTTTTTTATTTTTTTTTATAATTTATTTATTTAAGTATCTATTTAACAAAAAATTAACTTTACAAAAAGTAGAATTATAAATTTTTTTTTAAATTTTAAATTGAAGACAAAATGTTAACAAAATTAAAAAAAAACATTAAATGCAAAAATTAAAATAAACAAATAAAATTTGTAAAAGAAATGAAAAAATATGAAATTAAAAAAAAATAGAATTTAAAAAGGTAAAAATAAAAGAAAAAATGAAATAATAAGAATTAAAATATTTGAAATTTAAAAATTCAAAAAAGAATTGATAAATTCAAAAATTTGAGTTAAAGAAATTAATACTAATAAAATTTTTTAACAAATTAAAATTCCGAGAAGAAAAATGAAGAAAAAATAAAAAAACATGAAATAAAAAAAAGTAAAAAAAAAAATAAAATAAAAAAAATAAAAATATAGAATTAAAATAATTAAAATTCAAAAAAATTTAAGAACATTTAAAAATTCAAAAATTTTAATGAAAGAAATAAATAAGAATGAAATTTTAAAAATTGAAATTTAAAGAAGTAAAATTAAAAAATGAAAATTATTAAAATATTTGAATTGGTGGCTCAAAGTTTAAAATTTAAAAAGGTAGTGCCATCTATCCAAACAGTGAAGTACTTTACACACTTCGAATTTACTGATAAAGTAGGAAGTACAGTCTCTGTAGGAAAAAAAATTTTCTGTTTTAATTTTAAAAAACAATCTTACACATTTTTATTTATAATATACAATAATAATTCTTATAAATTACACATCTTAATAATTACACATTCATTCTTAATCAGCCTATCACAGTTTTTTTTTCAATTACTATATTCTAAAATACAAATCGAAAATTATAAACATTATAAAGTACGAATATTAATAAAGAAACTTAAACAATATCAAATATTTTTTAAATGATAGCTGTAATATTAAAAAAAAATTAAATTAAATTAAATAAAAAAATTAATTGGAATTATTTAAAAAATAATTTGTAAAATAAATTTTTTTACAAATATTTTTTTCATTTTGACTAAATAAAAAAATTAATTACAATTAATTTCTAAAAAGATAACACAAAAAATTAATTAAAATCAATTATTAAAAAAAATTAATTAAAAAATTAATTGAAATTAATTTTTCATCAGCGTAAATAAGAAATTAATTAAAATAAATTTTTTAGAAAAATTAAACATAGAATTGATTGAAATTAGTTTTTAAAAAGAGGAAATATTAAATTAATAAGAATTAATTTTTTTTTAAATTAAATAAAAAATTGATTGGAATTATTTTTTAAAAAGCAAAAATAATAAATTAATTGAGCTGCCGGATCAAAGAAGGGCACATAACCAATGTAATTCAAATGGGTTATGTGCCCTTCTTTGATCCGGCAGCTCAATTATTAGAATAAATTTAAATAAAAAATGAATTGAAATTATTTAAAGAATAATTTGTAAAATGAATTTTTTTACAATAATTTTCATTTTGACTAAATGAAAAATTTATGATAATTAATTTCTAAAAAGATAAAATAAGAAATTAATTAAAATTAATTTTTCAAAAAAAATTTAATTAAAAATTAATTGAAAATAATTTTTTTTTTAATTAAAAATTAATTGAAAATAACTTTTTAATTTTTTTAAATTAAAAATTAATTGAAAATAAGAAATAAATTAAAATCAATTTTTAAAGAATTAAATAAAAAACTTAAATTTAATCAATGGAAAAAGAAAAATAAAAGAAATTAAAAATATAAATTTAAATTAATTTTCGAAAAAATTTATCAAGTAATTTTTTTATACTTTTTAAATTTTCTATATTTAAAAAAAAATTTTTTTTAATTTGTTTAAATTATCATTTTAATTTATTAATTTAAAAAAAATGAACCTGTCAAAAATTTTTAAAACGAAATATACGTGAAAAATTAATTACTTGCCGCTAGTTGGATGAAAAATGAATGAGAACAAAAAAAGGAAAAAAAAGAGCAGCGTGACAAAAAAAACAGCCTTTCATTAAAAGCAAAAAAAAAAGAATTTAAAATTCTGCCACTACTTGACACATGCAACCGTGTGGAAACCAAAAAATATCCGTGTATAAACGATCGCCACTTCCCTCAAGAGCGACGAGTCTTTTTTGCACGTATTGTTGCGCACATCTGCTCGTGTAACCAATTGGAAGTGTACATAATTCATTACACGTATCGGTTCTGAAATCATTTCATTTTCCTCTTTAGAAAAATTATACCAAATAAAGCGAAAAAAATGTTCGACCACAATAGAAAAAAATTTTGCGTGCTTTGTAGACTGTTTTCTGGTTTTTAGTGAGGTTATGTTGCTTTTTCCAAGAAAAACGATCTATCACGCAAGCGCACATATTTGGCGCGCCAAATTTAAATTTACAATTTCATAAAATGTTAGTTTTTAGTTATTTGCCAAACTAATAACAATTTATTAATTATTGATGTGTTAATTTATTAATAATTTATTAATATTTTCATTTATTGGTAATTTATTTATATTTTATAAAATTTAATGTAAAAAAAACGAAAAAGTAAATTTGAATATTTAAAAAAGCCCGCGCTATCATTAACTGCCAGAGGGCGCTATTGACTTTCTCGCTAGTGGTAAAGTTTTTGACCTCAAATTATAGTAATTATAAGAAAAATAATAATATTAATAGTAACTAATAATAATATTATTATTTCTACTATTGTTACTATTTTTACTATTATTATTCCTTGCTGTTGGGCTTTTCGCGTAAAAAAATAAAATTAAATAAATTCAAAATTATTTTTAGTTATAATTAATAGTCATTGATAGTTAATTTTCTTATTCTTATTATTATTATTTAATATTAATTAACAATTATTATTTAATGTTAATTAACAATTATTATTTAATATTAATTAACAATTATTATTATTACTAATTTTATTGTTACTGTAAATCAAAAAAATTATAATTAATTAAAACTATAATAATAATAATATGAAAAAGTAACAATAAATAAAAAATGGCAAAAACTTCATAAAATAGATTTAATTTTTTTTCATTATTTTTTATTTATTTATTATTTATTTATTATTTATTTATTATTTATTCATTATTTATTTATTATTTATGAGGTTATTTATTTATTTATTATTTATTTATTATGTTAATATTTTTTTTATTACTCACTCGCAAACTTCGCTTCTGATAATTTGTGAATGCTTTTTCGTGATTTCTTCGGTATTAACAATGTACATCCAATTCCCCTGATTATTGAGTGCGGCTCGTGGATAAACAAATTTTGTTGTTGTCGGGCAAATTGAAATTGCATTACTGTCTTGTCTTTTTTTGCGTTCAACATTTTTTTTGTTGACAAATTCCAAAAGGGGATTTTTACGACGTGTCCGTGACAATAGATCCATATCATTTTCACGTGTGAATCTTCAATTTTTTTTTTTTTTTTTTTTTTGAAAGAAAAAAATAGAAATAAATTAACAAAATTGTTATTCAAAAAAAAAAAAATTACACTTTTCTCAATATCCGGACGTGCTGGTCAATTTTGACACCGGGGATTGTGTTCAGAAGGTAAAAATACATTGAAAATGACTCCCATATTGAAAATGAAGAAAAATTTTTTTTTTATTTCTTACCTCCACTTTTTTCAAAAATCGATTTTTTTTGTCTTACACAAGCTTGATCTATTAGTGTATGATTCAAGGTTTAATATAAGACCTTGTGGAAGTCAGTTAAGAAAGAAAAATACTGAAAATTCTCGAAAACACAATTTTTGGAATTTTTACCCCTACTTTTTTCAAAATCTTAATTTTTTTTTTTTTTTGGTTTTACGTACATGGAACTTGAAGAACATGTTTCAAGATAGTACGTCAAAGAGCATGTCAGAAACTATCTAGCACGTCAGGTTAAAGAGAAAAAATATCTTAAAAACACCCCCAAAAACACTTTTTTTACCCCCACTTTTTTCAAAATTTCGACAATTTTAGGATTTGGAATCGTGTTCAGCGGATAAAAATAACACCGGAAATTAATACGATATCTCAAAGGAAAAACCATGCAAGCTTGTGCTTTTAATTCAAATTTCTAAATTTTTTTTTATTTTTGGAAAAGTTGGGGTAAGAAATGAAAAAAAAATTTTCGACTACTTTTGATATTGGGAGTGATTTTCAATATATTTTCGTCCTCTGATCACAATTCCGAGTTCCAAAATTGCGTATTACGTCCGAATTTTGAAAAAAGTGGAAGTAAACCTCCTAAGAAAGCACTTTTTGAAGTCTTTACCCCCACTTTTTTCAAAATCTTGACGTGGTTGGACATTTTTGTAAACTGGAATCGTATTCAGCGGACAAAAAAGCATTCGAATCTATACTTCGTTATCCAAAATAAAAAAATAATTTAAATTTAAATTTCTCAAAATTATTCTTTAATTTTTGAAAAAAGTGGGGGTAGAAACTCCAAAAATGGTGTTTTTGAGTATTTTCACTATTTTTCTTTAAACTGATGTGCTAAAGACTTCCGTAAAGTTTAAAATTTGAACCTTAAATCGTACACAAAGAGACCAACATGCGTAAGACCAAAAAAATAGCCATTTTTGAAAAAAGTGGGGGTAAAACCAAAAAAATTTTGTTTTTCCTTATTTTTGATATGGGAGTCGTTTTCAATGTATTTTTGGTCGCTGAATACAATGCCGAGTGCCAAAATTGACTAAAACGTCAGTATTTTGAGAAAAGTGCATAAATACCGCACTTACCTATTTATCCAGAAACTTTGACTTAAATTCAGTGGATCTAAAGGCTGATAATATTTGTTTGACATAATTTCGGATTTTTGTCGAAATTGTTGACGATTTTCCGTAAAAGTGGTGGGGAGTATGAACGGATTTCTATTGGGTTCGGTCTGGTGTGTTCTGGAAATTATTTTTATTTGCGGTTAAGAGAAATTGTTTCTTTTTATTATTATTATTATTATTATTATTATTATTATTTAATTTTTAAAAATTATTTTCGATTTTAAAAAATCCAAAAAAATCGTAAAAAGGAAAAAAATTAATAATTCAAAATAGCGGGAAAAAATTAATGGTGGTAGAATAATTTAATTTTAATACCAACCTTGTTTGAAAAGTAGAATTAAACGGCGTTCCATAAACTAAGGCTGGTTGACGAAATTGATGTTCCTTTAATAAGGGTAAATTTTGCGAGAAACCTTGAGACGGTCTATTATATTCATAACCTCGATTATAATTTGGTACTTTCCTTAAAAATGGAATAATAATTATTAAAAATTTTTTAAATATTAAAAAATTATTACCAAACTTATAAAAACTAAATACGATATAACTTTTTCTCTTTCAATTAAATTCTTTAAATTTCTAATATTTAATTTTAAAAATAAATTTTTAAATATGTTTCTAGATAAATTTTATATATTTAAAAAAAGAAAGTAAAATAAATTATAAAAACAAATTTAAAAATTTTTTTTAAATAAATTAATGTTAAAAAATGTGCGAAAAATTATTATATATATATTTAAAATAAAATGAAAATGAAATAAAATTAAAAAAAAGGAAAACATTTATAATTAAAAAATTAAAATAAAATAAAAATTAAAAAATTATAAATAAATTGAAAAAAATAAGAAGACGTTGAGAACAGAGAGAAAAAATATTTAAAAGATAAAAAATAATATAAAAAAAAGGTGGAAATAAAATTTATTAATGTGTACAAACCTATAGGAATTGAAATCATCTGATGATTCATCTTTGAGAATAGTTTTGAAATCGAACGTGCATTTTTCGACGAGAAAATTTATAAGCTGCCTGGAAAATAAATATAGATTTAAAAATTAACAAAAGAAGATTAGAAAGCGAATATTTATAATTATATTATTTTGTAATATATCAAATATTTTATACATTCAGAAAGTAATAAGCGACTTGTTAAAGGAGATCAATATGTCGACAATAATTATTATAAATAGACACTTCTAAATCTATTATGTCTTCATTTCATCACGATATGTCAATAACTAAATTTTTTTTTTTTCTTGTCTTAAAAGCAAAATTCTTTCATTTAAATAATTTTTTATTTTAATGAGATTCTTTTGTATAAAGAAAATATAAATATTTTTATTCTATATAAATTATTTTGAGAGTTAATTAATATTTAGAGTTAACAAAAGAAAAAATAAAGAAAAAAAAATTTAATGTTTGAAAAATCCCGCCTTTGAATTAATTGCCAGAGGGCGCCACTGACTTTCTCACAAGTGGTGGTATTTTTAGGTAAAATTATAGACTTTCTCGCAAGTGGTAACTTTTTACGACAAACTATGACAATAATAACAAATAATAACAAATAATGACAAATAATAACAAATAATAACAAATAATGACAAATAATAACAAATAATAACAAATAATGACAAATAATAACAAATAATAACAAATAATAACAAATAATGACAAATAATAACAAATAATAACAAATAATAACAAATAATAACAAATAATGACAAATAATAACAAATAATGATAATATGAATAGCAAAAAAAATAAAAATTGTAACAATAATAAAAAAAATATTTTTAAAAAATAATAATACCTAAATAATAATTTTTTTTTCAATCCTTATAAAACGACAATCGACTGTCGTCGATTTGAGATCATAAAATATTATTACATATAAAAAAAGGTACGCAATAAACTGAAAAGTGTTGCCAAGATTTGAAAATTGGTGCCGGTCCTAAAAAAAACTTTCACCTGAATGTATATAGAGAAGACGTGAGCTAGAAAAGTTCGAATGTTTAATTCATGGCCCACGTCTTAAACACAATTTCTTCGTATTTCAGTTTACTTGGAAAGATTCCCAATAAAAATAATAAAAATAATAATAATAATGATAATAATGATAAAAATAATAAATATAATAATAATAAAAAGAAAAAAAAATTTTAACTATATTTTTGACTAATTAAAAGAATGTCAAATATTTAAAAAAAAAATTAAGAGACAAAATTTGTATTTTTAGAAAATTTTTCTTGATTGTTTTGTAAAACTTTAAAGAAATAAATTTTTTCTTGTAAAATTAAAATTAATTTTTGTAAAATCTGAAATAACATTTTTATGGCAGAAACTATTTTATGGTATTTTTTGGTAAAAAAAATTAAAATAACATTTTTTTGTTAAAAATTAAATCAACATTTTTTTGTTCTAAATAAAAATAACATTTTTTTGGTCTGAATAAAAATAACATTTTTTCGGTTTAAATAAAAATACCTAACATTTTTTTGGTAATAACAAAAAAAACAGTTTTTGGTGAAAACAAAAATAACATAGGTATGGTTTATAATGGGGAAAATAATATTTTTTTTGGTGAAAATCAAAATAACTTTTTTTGGTCTGAATAAAAATAACATTTTTTTGGTAAAAATAATAAATATTTTTTTGTAATACATAATTGCAATAACATTATTTTTGGTAACAATGAAAATAACATTCTTATGGTAAAAATTAATATTAATCAATAGAAAAAATCAAAAATAACATTTTTTGGTCTGCATAAAAATAATATTTTTTCGGTCTAAATAAAAACATTTCTTTCGTAAAAGCAGAAAATAACATTTTTTAGTAAAAACAAAAATATCATTTTGATAATGGCGAAAATAACATTTTTTGGTCAAAACAAAAATAGCATTTTAATAATGGCGAAAATAACATTTTTTTGGTGAAAATTGTAAAAAAAAAATTTTTCTGTAGTTAAAATAACATTTTTTTGGATAGAATTAAAAGCAAAATTAAAATAATACGTTTTTAGTATAAATTAAAGTAACATTATTTTAATGAGAATTAATATTAATCAATTGAATAAAAATAACAATAACATTTTTTGGACTGAATAAAAATAACATTTTTTTTAATAGCGAAAGTAAGATTCTTTTGGTGTACATAAAATAACATTTTTTTGTAATAGCAAAAATATAATTTTTCTTGTGAAAATTAAAATAACATTCTTTTTATCATAATTATAATAACATTAGTTTTGATAAAAATTAAACAACATTTTTTTGGGAAAAATTTTTAAAAATTTCGTTTAATTCGTTAAAATAACATTTTTTATATAAAAATAAAATAACACATTTTTGGTAAAAATTGAAATAACATTTTTTTGTAATAATTGCAATAACATTATTTTAGGTAAAAAAATAAAATAACATTCGTTTGGTAAAAATGAATATTAAATAAATTATAAAATTTTTTTGTATATAATTGAAAACAAAATTAACATATCACATTTTCGGTAAAAATTGAAATAACATATTTTTGTAATAATTACAATTACATTACTTTCGGTAAAAATTAAAATAACATTCTTTTAATGAAAATTAATATTAATCAATTGAAAAAAAATAACCATAACTTTTTTTGATAGAAAACAAAAATAATATTTTTTTGGTAAAAACAAGAATAATATTTTTTTAATAGCGAAAATAACATTTTTTTTAATAACGAAAATAACATTTTTTTGGTGTAAATTAAAATAACATTTTTTTTATAATAGCAAAAATAAAATTTTTTTGATAAAAATTAAAAAAAAAATTTTTTAATAGTTAAAATAACATTTTTTTGATATAAAAATTAAAATAAAATTAAAATAACACATTTTTGGTAAAAATTGAAATAACATTTTTTTTGTAATAATTGCAATAACATTATTTTAAGTAAAAATTAAATTAACATTCTGTTAGGAAAAATGAATATTAATTAATTAAAAAAAAAAAATAAAAATAAAATTTTTTTCGTTAAAAATTAATTAGAAAAAAAATTGCTTTTAAAAAACAATTTCAATTTCAGGTTTTTTTAAGGAAGAGGGGGAGGGTGGTATCTATTTTGACCTCAATAAAAAAGTGACATTGACAAAGCGAAATTCCAAGGTCTCTAACGGAGTAAAATATAATTATTGCAGACTTGGAGCATGACCGACTGAAGGCCATGGTCATTGGACCATAATCATGTATTTCTAGTTTTTTATGTAACGGTTATCCAGTTCTTAATCGATTGATTGATCGTGTACGACTACCGAATACACACGCGAAGAAAATATAGAAATCTTTAAAAAAAATCAATAAATCATTTTCTTCTTTTTTTTTGCAATTTAAAAGGAACCGTTTTTAGTAAAAATGAGAAAAATAACCAAAAAAAAAATGAATTTTCAAAAAAAAGTTTTTTAATTTTTACTTGTAATTAGAATTTTTCTACTTTGAAATTTGACTATTTTTATACTATTTAAAGTTTTTTTTTGGTATAAATACTAATTGTTAGTATTTTTTTTTACTATATTCGAACTATTTATAACTATATAGGCATTATTTTAAGTTTTTTTTTAGTAAAAGTTACTTTTTTTAATGCAGTCAAAATATTTTTTGTTTCTTACTATATTTTAAAGGTAGTATTTATTATTTTTTACTACATATTTTTGAATAAATATTTGTAGTTATTTTTTTACTATATTGATCTATTTCCATAGTGGTAAAAATGTTACTTTTTTGGTTATAGTTTTTTTTTCAAATTTTCGTTGTAGTCAAAATGTGACTCTTTGTTGTAGTAAAAAAAGTAACTTTTCGTTGTATTAAAAATTTGACTATTGAAATAATTATTATTATTTATTATTATTATTATTATTTTTTTTTTATTATTTATTTATTTTTTTTTTATTTCTATTTGAATTTTTTTCTTTTTTTTTCGTTAGTCATTTGACTTTTTGTTGTAGTAAAAAATGTAACTTTTCGTTGTAGTCAAAATTTGACTTTTCATGATAGTCAAAATGTAAATTTTCGTTGTAGTAATTTGACTTTTTGTTATAGTCAAAATGTAACTTATCGTTATAGTCAAAAATGTAACTTTTCGTTGTAGTCAAAATGTAAATTTTTGTACTAGTCAAATTTTGACTTTTTATTATAATTAAAATTTAAGTTTTTGTTGTAGACATTTGAATTTTTGTTATAGTTAAAATTTGACTTTTCGTTGTAGTCAAAATATAAATTTGTGTACTAGTCAAAATTCGACTTTTCGTTTTAATCAAAATGTAAATTTTCGTTGTAGTCAAAATGTAACTTATCGTTGTAGTCAAAATAAAACTTATCATTGTAGTCAAAATTTGACTTTTCGTTATAGTCAAAATGTAACTTATCATTGTAGTCAAAATTTGACTTTTCGTTTTAATCAAAATGTAAATTTTCGTTGTAGTCAAAATTTGATTTCTTTATAGTCAAAATGTAACTTTTGAAATTTTAAAACATTTATAACTTTGACCTTTGAAAATTTAACTAATAACAAATTTAACTACGAAAAGGTACTAATGTTAGTTTACTATAAAATATTGATAAATATTTAAAGTTCTAGTAATACTTGTAGTAAAATATAAGATAACTATTTACAGTTGTAGTAAAAAATATCATTATTTTAAGTACAGGAAATTTTTGTACTAAAAATGGTATTATAAAAGATACATTTTGTCGGAAAAGTATCAAATTTGACTATAATTCGCATTCATAGTAAAAAATTTTAACCGCACTACCGTATAAAACTAGTTTGTGAGAGATCAGATTGAAATAATTTCTCGTTAAAGTTGAGAAAAAAATATTATATAGAAAGAAAAATCATCATTCAAAAGAAGTTAGAGTGGGGTTAGTGGGCAGAGGGGGGTGAATATAAAAGAATATAAAACAATCCTTTATAATATAATAATCTTCCATATACACTGGAGACTCACGAGGTTATCTTGATTATAATATATACAATGTTGCATTACACTAACCTGTCAAGAATGATGCAAAAAGATAAAAAAAAAAAAAATAAAAAAAAGCAAATTTACTTTTTAGGTCAAATTTTAATTTATTTAAATTTTTTTGAAAAAAAATGTGAATTTTCATTTGTGTAAGAATGTTTAAATTAAATAAATAAATTAAAATTCAATATTAACAATTGTTGTATTCCGGTTTCTTTAATAATTTTAATAAAAAATTTTGAAAATAATTGAATTTTATGAATAATTTCTTTTAAGTTTTTAAAATAATCGTGTTTGTTAATCATTGAAATTGAACATTTTATTATTGAATTTTATTTAAAACAATAATTGAAATAATTGAAAATTAATTGAATTGTTTTGAAAAATATTATTAAAATTTTAAAAAACTGAATTCTTTCATTAAATTTGATTAAAATTTTATTAAAAATAATTTAATTCTTGCAAATAATTTTACTATTTTATAAATAAAATTCATTTGTTACATAGGATTAATAAAAATTTTAGAAAATAATTTAATTTTTTCGAAATATTTTATAACGAATTTTAAGAAAAAAATTTAATTCTTTCTTGAAATTTTTTTTTGAAAATAAATAAATTTTATTTAAAAAAAAATAATTGAAATAATTGAAAATAATTGAAAATAATTAAATTTTTTTGAAAAATATTATTAAAATTTGAAAGAAAATTGAATTCTTTCATGAAATTTGATTAAAATTTTATTAAAAATAATTGAATTTTTGCAAATAATTTTATTATTTATAAATAAAATCGAATTGTTACGAAGGATTTATAAAAATTTTGGAAAATAATTTAATTTTTTCGAAATATTTTATAACGAATTTTAAGTAAAAAAATTTAATTCTTTCTTTAAATTTTTTTTGAAAACAAATAAATTTTATTTAAAACAATAATTGAAATAATTGAAAATAATTGAATTTTTTTGAAAAATATTATTAAAATTTAAAAGAAAATTGAATTCTTTCATGAAATTTGATTAAAATTTTATTAAAAATAATTGAATTTTTGCAAATAATTTTATTATTTATAAATAAAATTGAATTGTTACGAAGGATTTATAAAAATTTTGGAAAATAATTGAATTTTTTCGAAATATTTTATAACGAATTTTAAGAAAAAAATTTAATTCTTTCTTGAAATTTTTTTTTTTTTTTGAAAATAAATGAATTTTATTTAAAACAATAATTGAAATAATTGAAAATAATTGAATTTTTTTGAAAAATATTATTAAAATTTAAAAGAAAATTGAATTCTTTCATGAAATTTGATTAAAATTTTATTAAAAATAATTGAATTTTTGCAAATAATTTTATTATTTATAAATAAAATTGAATTGTTACGAAGGATTTATAAAAATTTTGGAAAATAATTTAATTTTTTCGAAATATTTTATAACGAATTTTAAGTAAAAAAGTTGAATTCTTTCTTGAAATTTTTTTTTTTGAAAATAATTGAATTTTTAATAGTAATTCGCAAATTTTCACAATTTTTGCAAAGATTTTACTAGTTTAAAAAATAATTGAATTATTTCGAAAGACTTCTTAAAATTTTTAGAAAATCATTGAATTCTTTTGAAAAATATTATTAAAATTTTTATATTAAAAATTGAATTCTTTCATAAAATTTTATTAAAATTTTGTTAAAAATAATTGAATTTTTGCAAATTACTATTTATAAATAAAATTGAATTCTTACGAAGAATGTTTATTATAAAAATAAAGTTATTTATAAAAATAATTATGAATTCTTGTGAAGAATTTTATTAAAATTTTTGAAATTAATAAATAAGAATAATTAATTAATTAATAAATTAGTGAATAATTGAATTTTTTTGAAGTTTAAATCTGATATTATTCAAAAATTCATATTTGAATATAAAAAATTTTGTAATTTGCATAATAATAATAATAAATTAAATATCACAATATTTGCTAGTTATATAAATTATAAAGTAAAAGAATAAAAAAACAAAAAATTAATAAGTTTTTAAACAAAAAATTAATATTTTTTATAAAAAAAATTTTCTTACTGTGGATAGTGATCTAAATTTTCGCAAAATGTTTGTCCTGGTTGCGCGCAATGTGGAGTATTGCCCGGAGCAGCCGGTAGAAATGGTTCGTAAATTGGTGGTCCCAAGGGACAACCATAATCTGTACATCCCTCACATTCAATACTTAGTAGACTTATCTGTAAGAAAATAATTTTTCTTTTACTTTATTCTTTACAATTTTTTTTTTATTACTTTACAATTCTTCAAATTTACTTAAATTATTTTTTTAAACTTAGATAATTTAAATTAAATTAAAAATAATAATAATAATAATAATAAAATAATAATTAAAAAAGTTTTTGGAGTTTAATTTTAATTTAATTTTAATTTAATCTATATGTTTTAAATCCTATTTTTTGTTATTACTATTTTTGAAATTCGCGCGCCGATTTTTTTGCTGTATTTTAATGAGGTTATGTCGTTTTACCAAGAAACGCGATCTACCACGCAAGCGCACATGTTTAGTGCGCCAAATTAAAATTTTTATTTGCGTAAAATGTTACTTTTATTTGTAATAAATTAATAACAATTTGACTCATATATTTCTAAATAAATAATATTATTAATAATCTATTAAGAATTTATTTATATTTAATATAAATTAATAAAAGCGGAATAGATTATTAATAGCAATATAAAAAATCAAGAAAATTTACAATCCTCCAAATCAAAAATTTTAACTTGGAGTCTTGATAATTTTCTTGATATTTTATAATATATTTTATCGAGTGATTAATTTTATTCTACTATTGATTATTAATATTATTATTAATTTTACTATTTTTATTAATATTTTTATTTTAAGTACATTAAAAATTAAATTCATGCACAAAAAAATCAAAGTTTCTTTTTTTTCGCATTAATATATACGAAAAAAAACGTGAATTCTTTTATTCTGTTAAACTACAATAGCAAATTTAAATTGTATAGAGATTGTGATTTTTTTTGACCTGGTGTTTCTCTATATAAAGAAAAAGAAAAAAAAAATTTTTTTTTAATGCCTATATAATGACGTATAGGTTTGACTTTATTAAGAGTCTGCCCATTGAATAAAGCCATTATTTATTCTAGTAGTTGAGATTATAAAAGGTACTTTCACGACGTGCTGTCAATTTTAAATCTTCCCAAAATTTTATAATATGATGATAAGTCTTAGATTTAACAAATCAGTCAAAGAGAAATCATCCATTAAATTCGTTTTTATCTTTTTGTGGCTTGGTGAGGGGGAGAGAGGGGTGAGGGGAATTTTTTTCATTTTCAAATTCTTTGCCTCATATTTTTTTAAACAAAATTTTCTTTTTTAAAAAAAGGAATTTATATTTTCAAAATTTTTATAATTTTTCATTTTTAAATTATTATTACTATTATTATTATTATTATTATTATTATTATTATTATTATTATTATTATTATTATTATTATTATTATTATTATTATTATTATTATTTAATTCAGTAATTGTTTTTTTTTCTGCTAATTACCAAACAAAAATTACAAAATTTACAGAATTACAAATTTCAAGGGTCAATATTTTTGTTTTATTCATTTTTTTATATATATTTTTATTTTATTTCATTTAAATTTTAAAAAATATGAATATTATTGTTCGAAAATTTATATTACTATCATTATTATTATTATAATGATTTTTATAATGATCATTATTATATTAATATTATTATTTAATATCTGTTTGTAGATTTTTTTATTTATAATAAAAATTTAAAAAAATATTTAAAGTAAATAAAATAAATAATAATAATAATAATAATAATAATTAATTGTAATGTAAAATAAATAATAAATGAATAAAACATTGTAGGCTTTCGCATTGTTTATTAATTATGTACTTTTTGTTAAAACTATTTTTTAATAATATTTTGTAATAAAAATAAAAAATTAATTTTTTGTTAAAGATTATTTAACTAATTTTTTGTTATTATAATAAATAAACTATTTCTTTATTATTATTATTATTATTATTATTATTATTATTATTATTATTATTATATAATATTATTATTTGTTGCTGTTTGTTTGTTATTATTATTATTGTTTATATTATAATAATATATAAGTACCTATATAAAATCTTTTTTATTGAAATAAATTTTATTGAAATAAAAAAAAAAAATTAAATATAAAAATAAAAATATAAAAAAATATGTTCTTATTATATTCGTTATAATTATAGTTAATGTTGTTATTATAATGAAAATTATTTTATACAATTTATTATTATGAATATATTATTATTACAATTATTAAAAAATACCATTTTCGAGACTCACCGTTAAAATAAAACTAGTAAATGATACAAACATCTTAGAAATTGCATTCAGACTTCTGTGTGTCTATTAGAAAAAAAAAATACGGCAAACAATCACTGTTAATTATATAAAATGTCCCACGCTCCCAAAGAGAGTTGGGTTCAAATACTCGAGTATGAATGAAATTAAACATCCACTTTTATAATACTCTCCCAAGTTACTTGCAAGTTTAGAAAAGCAACTTTTTTTTCTTTATCTTTCATTTAATTTCGTAATAAATCTTTTTATATAAAAAAAAAAAAAATTTTATCAATTTAAAATTTTTGAACTTTTTTAAACTTTAAAAAAATGTTAGCGAATCACGTGTATATTGAAATATAAAGGTTAGAGAATTTGAAAGTAAACTTTATTTTTTTTTGGCAGACGTTGCCTGGTCCCGGGTCCGAAACGATTTGCAACAAGACGACTTGTGGTTGGACAAATCAAGTGCACAAGTTCTCCAATCTAATATTCTTAGGGTGGGGTTATATGGACTTTTATAAGCACTTTCACTGGGCATCAAAACCGTATAAGCTATATATATATATGTATATATGTGAGATGACCCATCATGATGATGATTCGATCAAAGAAATTCTCTACTTCCGGGGCTTTTCCTCTCGGAAGTTAATTTTAATATTTTTTTTATATTATTTTTCTCTTCGCTAATTTTATTTTATATCTAACTAATTATAATGAATGAATTAATTAATTAACTGTTTATTAATAATTTAAATTTAATTATATATTTGAAAATAAATTATTTACCAAAATATTTTATTTACTATTCAATCTAAGTTTTTATTTTATATTATTTAATATATTCTTAATAAGTATAATTAATTGTAGTTTCCTTCGCTTGGATTTATAGAAGTGTTTATTTAATCTCATTTTATAATTTTAGAAGTATTCATTTATAAGTAAATTTTATTATTTTTAAAATTTTTAAAAAAGTATTGTTTTAAAACTTTAACAAAAATTATTTTTATATTTAAAGAAAATAGATTAATTTAAGGAATAATAAGTATTATATGATTTAAGTTCACAAACAATTTTTCTTCTTAATTTTTAAAAATAAATTTTCTTTTTAAATAATTTAAAATTTTTAAATTCTTCTCAGAAATTTAATTATTTTCAAAAATTTTAATAAACTTTTTGGCAAAATTTCAATTATTTTAAAAATTTTTCCTGCTTAATTCAATGATTTTCAATATATCTACTATATATGTATGTAAATAAAATTTTCCAAAAGAATTCAATTATTTAAAAAAAATTTTAACAAAATTCCTTTAATTTAACAAAATTCTATAAAAATCAATTATTTTCACATTTTTTTTTATAAATTTCTTCGCAATAATTCAATTATTCAATCTTCATAAATAATAAAATTCTTTTTAGGAATTCAATTGTTTTCATTAATAATAAAACTCATTATTGCAGAATTTCAATTACTTTTCATATTACAATTTTACAGGAATTGCTCAAAAAATGTAATTATTCTTAAAAATTTTCTAAAAATTAAAAGCATTATAGAGCGTGATTTTTTAGAAATAATTAAATTTTTAAAAGGTTTCAAATTAAAATCTTTGAAAATCTGAATTTTTCATATTTTTAACTAAAACAATTCTGTAGAATTAATTTTTTTGAAAAAGTTAAATTGAATTTTTTTTTAAAAATTATTTAAAGTTTCTTATATCTTCTAATATATATGTTTAATTGAAGAATTTCCGAATAATTGAAATTTCGTAAAATTGAATGAATTTGAAAATGAATTTGAAAATTCACAAAGAACTTTTTTAAAACTTATTAAAAATAATACATTTATAGAATAATTTTAGATAAGAACACTAAAAAAAGGAATTTTGGAGAAGATACGAATTATTGCAGAAATTTAATTCTTTTTAATACAATTTTAATCGAATTCCTCGAAAAATATAATTATTATTAAAAATTTTATTAAAATTCGAATTTTATTATATTTATTATTGATTTTTAGAAGAATTTTTAATTAATTTTCTAGAATTTTTAACTAAAATAAATTATAATCAAAACTTTAATAATTTCTCAAATTATTTAAATATAATTCAATATTATTTTCAATACAATTTTTATAAAATTTTTCAAAAGAATTTAATTATTTTAAAAAAATTTAATAATATTTTTTAATAAGAAATCAATTACTATTTGAATACAATTTTAACTGATTTCCTAAAAAGAATTTTAATTTTCTTCACAAGAATTCAATTATTTGCAAAAATTAATAAAATTATTCACAGCAATTCAATTATTTCTAAAAATAATAATATTCTTCTAAGGAATTAAATTATTTTTAAAAAATACTAAAATTCTTCATAGGAATTCAATTATTTTAAAAATTTATTAAAATTATTCGCAGAAATTCAATTATGTTTAAAATTTTTTTTATATTCTCGGCAAAATTTCAATTATCTTTAGAAATAATAAAATTCTTCAAAATTCAATTATTTACAAAAATTTTAATAAAATTCTTTAAAATTCAATTATTTACAAAAATTTTAATTAAATTCTTGGCAAAATTTCAATTATTTTCAAAATTTTTCCTCAATTTAATATTATTTTCAATATCAGATATATTTAAATAAAATTTTCCAAAAGAATTCAATTATTATTACTAGAATTGAATTATTTTAAAAATTTATTAAAATTCTTTGCAGAAATTCAATTATTTTCTAAAAACAATAAAATTCTTTGTAGAAATTCAATTATTTTTTAAAATTATTAAATTTCTTCGATTGAATTCAATTATTTAAAAATTTCTTGATAAAATTCTTAATGAGAAATAAATTTTCAGAAAAACATTCAAATTATTCAATAAATTATTTATTTTTGTATTTGAATAATTGAATTACAGGAGAATTTTCTAATAAAAATTAATTTAAAAAATTAATTTGAGTTAAAATTTGAGATAATAATTGATTATTAAAAGCAAGTAGCGCGTGGATTTTTAGAATTAATTGAATTTTGAAATTAATTTCTTTTTAAAAAGTTTCATTGAATTTTTTTTAATATATTATTTGAAGTTCTTATTTTCTAATGTTTATTTAATTGAAGAATTTACGAATAATTGAAATGATTGATTGAATTTTAAATACATACTTTCACTGGTAAATGAAAAAAAATTAATCACGCCTAAATTTGAAAAAAAATTAATTTGTTTACAAAAAAGTATTTTTTTTATTAAAAATTAAAAAAAATTAATTTATTTATAAAAATATTTTTTTTTATTAAAAATTAAGAAAATAATTTTTTTACATTACTTAAAAGTTGAAGAAAAACCAAAATTTTCTTTCTTTGACAACTTTTTTCTAAACTCAATACTTTCAAACTTATAAGCTATTGAAAATAGCTTATTTAAACATGTTGGTGGTTTTTCTTAAAAAAATTCATGTAAATGATCAATTTTTGTACCCTACAACTTATTTTATTATTATTATTTATATTTAATTTAATATATATTATATTATTCTAGCTATATATTAGTTTAAAATGCAACTTTTAATTAACCTAATGTTAAAAGCTTTATTTTGGTTCTTAATAACGTTAATAACGTTTTTCTTTCAAAAGCATCAATTATTCGCACTTTTTAATTTTTCAACGCATAATTTCGCATAATTATCAGTTTTTCAGGGCATAATCCAGTAATTTTCAGCGTCATAAAATACTGTCCTTATATATTACTTACTTATTAACTATATTTATTTTCATTTATTATAATTTATTATTTAACATTTTCTCTATTGATAGATTGATATCGCAAACGAATGCAACTGACAACTAACACGGAAACTAACCTTAAAATATATTATTTTTCGTTGTAACGGAAAAAGAAATTGCCCGCGCGATTTGAAAATTATCGAATTATAACACGAGACGGCGCGTCGGAATGAAAATGGCCGACTGCCGCTGTCAGCAAGCAACACGACGACGACAAGCAGGGCCGAATGAAAGTGGTGGGTCGTAGAGGAGAGTGACTCGAGATTAAATGCGAACCGCAACCTAAAGTGATCGTCCGGGAGGAAAAAAGAATGAATTTTCCTTCGGGACGAGCGTTACACGAGATTTTTAGTAAAAGAAAAAAAAGTTTATTTCGCGAGAAATATTTTTACACACAGGGCTAAATATAATTAGTATCGTCGTGAGTTTTAAACCCCTCTTCGATTTATACTTTTTCGTTTCTAGTGTGTATACACACATACACACACACAAATAATATATAAGCATAGAATAATAAAAATAGTCATGGCGACTAATTCACAATCAAGAATCGACGATTTAGTGTACAGTGTAACCCTCCACAATTCATTGAGAAATCTTTTTAAAGGTTGCATTCTACCATTTGTGTCACTATATTTTATTTGGATTTATTGTTGGTTGTTCGTTTATGGCGTCGAGGAACATTACGATGCAGGCTTGATTGGCATTGCCGTTATCGGCGTTTTACAAATTTTCATCTGCCTCTGCTGCCAATGGTCCGTTCACATAAATTGCTTTCTCAATTTTGTCAAGGTAATTAACATTAACTCTATTTCATTTTTAACAATATGTTGTGAACGAAAACGTGGCATAGTCAGTAGTCACAGTCCCTCAGGAAAGAAGAAATCTTCTGCTAGAATTTATCAAATCACGTGACGGTGACGTTGACGCCGGAAGGAGCGGGAAAATTTGAAAATAAAAATTGTTTTCTTTTCTCATAGGGGAGAAATCCACATGAAGCATCGTTTGCAAAAGTTGTACCAACGCCAAATAATGGAAGTTCGGAATTGGTGAAATTATACAAGAGTAAAGAGGAGGAACCTTGGTTTATTTTTCAAAAAACAAAATATATTTGGGACTCGAATAAAAAGCAATTTGAGGGTCTACAATTTCCGGTTAATCATTCGATTAATCATTATTCGGAGTGGAAGGGTTATGCCAGTGAACAGGAAGTCGCTGAGGCTGAGGCGAAATATGGCAAAAATAAGTAAGTTTGAAGAAAGATAGAAATATTATTTTTCGAATTATATTAATTATATTATTATTGTATTATAATTATATATGTTATATATGGGTAATTCCACGTCAAATTTTTCTATGACATTTTAAAATCGGTTAAACTTATTTGTGTCACGCTTTGAAGAAAGGTACCTAAGAAGCAAAAAATTTGAGGTTATGTTTTAAATTTTTTTTCCTTTCTAAAAAAAACATAGCATAAAAAGGTCGAATTGAAAAAAGTCAATGTCTTCATTATATTCAAAATATTCAATGAAAATTTGTTTCAAATTCAAAAAATTAATTAATTCTTTCAAAGAATTCAACTATCTTAATAAATATATTAAAATTCTTTCCGAAAATTCAATTCTTTTCAAAAATTTTAAATAAAAATTCTTTTCAACATTTCAATTATCTTTATAAATACTAATAGCAAAATTCTTCGCCGAAATTCAATCATATTCAGGAATTTTTTATAAAATTCATTTGTAAAAATCAATTATTTTCATAAATAACAATTTCTTCGCAAAAATTCAATTATTTGCAAAAATTAATAAAATTATTCACAGGAATTCAATTATTTTCCAAAAATAATAAAATTCTTCACAAGAATTCAATTATTTTCAAAATTTATTAAAATTCTTCGAAGAAATTCAATTATTTTCAAAAATAATAAAATTCAATTATTTTCAAAAATAATAAAATTCAAATTATTTTCAAAAATAATAAAATTCAATTATTTTCACAAATAATAAGATTTAATTATTTTTAAAAAATTTTTAACAAAATTCATTGCAAATTTCAATTATTTTCATAAATGATGTTAGGTATTCATCGCAAGAATACAATTATTTTCGCAAAAGTAATAAAATTAATTTATTTTCAAAAATTTAAATAAAATTATTGGCAAAATTTCAATTATTTTCAAAGATTTCCCTCAATTCAATTATTTTCAATATCTACTATTTTAATAAAGTTTTCTAAAACAATATTCCACGCAAACATTTAACATCAAAGATTTTTTTGTTGGTTTTAATTATTTTCATAAATAATAAAAATTTCACTGGAATTCAATTATTTACAAATTTTTTTATAACTTTCTTCGCAATAATTCAATTATTATCTTCTTAAACAATAAAATTCATTTTAGAAATTCAATTATTTTCGTAAATAATAAAACTCATTGCAGAATTTCAATTATTTTTAATACAATTTTTAATCAAATTCCTCGAAAAATGTAATTATTCTTAAATATTTTATTAAAATTCGAATTTTTTTTAATGGATTTTTAGAAAAATTCTTATTTAATTTTTTAGAATTTTTAACCAAATTTATACTCCAAACTTCAATATTTTCTTAAATTATATAAATATAATTCAATTATTTTTTTTATAAATAACACATTTTTCGATTAAATTCACTTACATTCAATACAATTTTCCAATAAAATTTTTCAAATGAATTTAATTGTTTTAAAAAGTTTTAATAATATTAATAATATTTTTTAATAAGAAATTAATTACATTGAATACAATTTTAATTGATTTCCTATAAAGAATTTTAATTTTCTTCTCAGAAATTCAATTATTTTCAAAACTTTTAATAAAATTCTTCGCAGAAATTCAATTATTTGCAAAAATTAATAAAATTATTCACAGGAATTCAATTATTTTCCAAAAATAATAAAATTTTTCGCAAGAATTAAATTATTTTTAAAAAATAATAAAATTCTTCACTGGAATTCAATTATTTTCAAAATTTATTAAAATCTTTCGTATAAAATCAATTATTTTTAAAAATTAATAAAATTCTTCACAGAAATTCAATTATTTTCAAAAAACAATAAAATTCTTCGTAATAATTAAATTATATTCAAATCTTTTAATGAAATTCTTCGCAGAAATTCAATTATTTTCAAAATTTATTAAAATGCTTCGCAGAAATTCGATTATTTTTCAAAAATAACAAAATTCTTTGGAGGAATTCAATTATTTTCATAAAATAATAAAATTCTTCGCAAGAATTCAATTATTTTTAAAAAATTATAAAATTCTTCACAGGAATTCAATTATGTTCAAAATTTATTAGTCTTCGCAGAAATTCAATTATTTTTTAAAATTAATAAAATTCTTCATAGAAATTCAATTAATTTTAAATATTAATAGAATTCTTCATAAGAATTAAATTATATTCAAATCTTTTAATGAAATTATTCGCAGAAATTCAATTATTTTTAAAAAAACAATAAAATTCTTCGCAAAAATTAAATTGTTTTCAAAAATTAATTAAATCTTCACAGGAATTCAATTATTTTCAAAAACTATTAAAATTCGTCGAAAGAATTCAATTATTTAAAAAATTTTTGATAAAATTCTTTGTAAAAGAATTCAATTTTAAGAAACATTCAAATTATTCAATAAATTATCTATGTTTCTATTTAAATAATTGAATTCTCGTAGAATTTTCTAATAAAAATTGATTTAAAAAATTAATTTCAGTTAAAATTTTAGATAATAATTGATTATTAAAAGCAAGTAGCGCGTGGATTTTTAGAATTAATTAAATTTGTAAAAGTTTCAAATTCAAATCTATGTAAATTTGAATTTTTCATACTTTTAATTAAAAATTTTATGGAACTAATTTTTTTCCAAAAGCTTAATCGAAATTTTTAAAAATTATTTCAACTTTTTATTTTCTAATGTATATTTAATTGAAGAATTCCCCAAATAATTAAAATTTCACGTAAAATTGAATTGTAAACAAATGAATTTAAAAATTCTCAAAGAAGAACTTTTTCAAAAATTATTAAAAATAATTGATTTAAGGAAGAATTTTAGTTAAAAATAGTAGAAAATAATTATTGAATTGAAATGATGAAAATAATTTTAAAGTAGTTACAGTAACAATATTCTTAAGAAAATTCGTAAATAAACGTAGCAGAACATTTTTTTGACTATCTAATAATTTTTATAGTGAATCGCATAATATTCTTTAGGATCAGGGAAAATGTAAAAATTTTGTCTGGAAATCAGGGAAAAGCAAAATTAAATTTTTGTGGCAACTCTGATTAATCTAAAAAAATAAATAAACATTTGCTGTAAAAAATAAATTTTTTACTTAATTTAAATTTAATTTAAATTTAATTGGAAATTTTTTTTTCAGAGTGGACATGGAAGTACCGGAATTTTGGGAATTATTTCGAGAGCGTGCGATTGCGCCATTTTTTGTATTTCAAGTATTTTGCGTTGCACTGTGGTGTCTCGATAGATATTGGTATTACAGTATATTCACGCTCATAATGCTGATAATGTTCGAGTGCACACTTGTGCAACAGCAATTGAGAAATATGGCGGAAATTCGAAAAATGGGCAATAAACCATACATGATAATGGTCTATCGAAACAGAAGATGGCGGCATATTTTCACCGATCAACTGGTACCGGGCGATGTTGTTTCGATAACACGTTCGCAAAATGATAATTTAGTGCCGTGCGATATGCTTCTATTGAAGGGTCCTTGTATCGTTGACGAGAGTATGTTAACCGGCGAATCAGTGCCACAAATGAAGGAGCCAATCGAGGATATTCAGGAGAATCGCTTTCTTGATGTCGAGGGAGATGATAAACTTCATATTCTTTTCGGCGGCACTAAAGTCGTTCAACATTCGCCGCCTAGCAAGAATTCGTCTGGTCTTAGAGGTTTACTTTTTAAAATTTATCAAATTTTTTTTACTTCCACTAATTTTAATATTTTTAATATTAATTATATGTGATTAATAATTATCAATCAATCCAAGTCAGGTAAAAAAAATATAAAAATTGAATTTAACGTTTTTTTTTAAAAATTATTTTTTCAGTATTTAATGTCCTTTATTTTCAGCTACTGACAATGGATGTATTGCCTATGTACTAAGGACCGGATTCTCGACATCGCAGGGAAAATTATTGAGGACAATTTTATTCGGCGTGAAACGCGTCACGGCGAATAATCTCGAGACTTTTGGATTTATTTTGTTCCTATTGATATTTGCGATCGCAGCGGCAGCTTACGTTTGGATTAAAGGTATTAAATTTTAATTTATTAAAAAATAGTAAATATTTATTTGCAGGAGAAATGGAGAAATTATTATTAGAAACAGAAGTTGAAAAGAAAGAACGTCAAGAAAAAAAGGGAAATCATTGTTTGAAACACAAGTTGAAAAGAAAAAGGGGAAATTATTATTGAAAGCAGAAGTTGAAAAAAAATTAGTTTTGAGATTAAAATTGTTCTGCTTTAGTGCAGACATTAATTTTTGACTTATTTATTATATTTAATTTTTTATTTTAAATTAGTAAAATTGAGAATTTTTTCGACTTATTTTTAAAAAATGCGACTTTTTCGACTTTTCTTCCAAATATTGCAACAAAATACCACAATTTTTTTAGTATAGAATACAACTTTAATTTTTATAGTGTGAAAAATAACTACAAGCAATTTATCTTTCAAACATTATTTTTGAATCATTTTTTAAGATAATTAAATTTTTCAAATACATCTATAATAACAATTTTTTTGAAGGTAATTTAAATTTTGTAAAATTTAATTGAAAATAATTTTTTTTAAGTATTTTGTTACAATTTTTGAAAATCAACTTTTGAAGAATTTTAATTGCAAATTTTAAAAATAATTGAATTGTCAGTAATGTTAATGAAAAATCTTTGAATTTAAAAATTAGAAATGAAAACTAGCCAAACTATCCGCGCGCAAGGGCGCGGGAATGTTGTATGGGGCTGCTTATTTTAAACAATTAAAAAAATTTTAAAGAAATAATTATTATAACCTAACAAAGAGATTTAACTAACTTAAATTCAAATAATTTCACTCAATGGTCTCAATTTAAATAGAATTTACATTACTAGACTTAAACTATGGCTAGAACAATTACAATTAGTATCTGGGTCATCTTTTGCATTGCTTATTTTATAAAGCCATTTTAAATTAAATACTTTTTAAAGAAATAATAATTATTACACACTAAAAAAAGTTTGACTTGAAATAGCGATAAGTTTCTCTAGAATAACAAAAGTATTAATTGAAGCACTGAATAATTTCGCTACTAAAGTGAAATCTGTAGTTCATCAAGCTAAATATTTTTTGCCGTGCATAACGAAAAAAGAATTAAATTAACATCAGATTTTCTACATTCAAAAAAACGAATTCAAATAGAAATTAATCATTTTACAACTTAACCAAATTCACCTCAGAAATCACTGAATTCGATAATTTAGAAGAAAGTCAGACAAAAGCAGGGTTCTTACAGAATCTGGAAATCATGGAAATGGTATGGAATTTTTAAAAGGCTTCTGGAAATCATGGAAAAGGCCTGTAATTTTTAAAAAATTCTAAATTTTTTCAGTTTTCCATTTTTTCTCTTGAATAAAAATTCAAATAATAATAAAGCTAAATGGTATAAAAGAGAAAAAAAATGTTGAATTTTAAGAAATTCAATTTTTCAAATTTTTGATAATTTTGAATAATTTTTTATTTTTTTCCAAAGAGTCGAGACAATTTAATAAGTAAAGTATTTTCCAAAAGCACAGAAATAATGAAGCTAAATCCCGTAAAAGAGAAGAAAAAATGTTGAATTTTAAGAAATTCGGATTTTTGAATTTTTTCGAATTTTTGATAATTTTAGATTTTTTACCAAAGAGTCGAGACAATTTAATAAGTAAAGTATTTTTCAAAAGCACAAAAATAATGAAGCTAAATCCCATTAAGGAGAGGAAAAAATGTTGAATTTTAAGAAATTCGGATTTTTGAATTTTTTCGAATTTTTGATAATTTTAGATTTTTTACCAAAGAGTCGAGACAATTTAATAAGTAAAGTATTTTTCAAAAGCACAAAAATAATGAAGCTAAATCCCATTAAGGAGAGGAAAAAATGTTGAATTTTAAGAAATTCGGATTTTTGAATTTTTTCGAATTTTTGATAATTTTAGATTTTTTACCAAAGATTCGAGACAATTTAATAAGTAAAGTATTTTTCAAAAGCACAAAAATAATGAAGCTAAATCCCATAAAAGAGAAAAAAAAATGTTGAATTTTAAGAAATTTGGATTTTTGAAATTTTTCGAATTTTTGATAATTTTAGATTTTTTACCAAAGAGTCGACACAATTTAATAAGTAAAGTATTTTTCAAAAGCACAAAAATAATGAAGCTAAATCCTATAAAAGAGAGGAAAAAATGTTGAATTTTAAGAAATTCAATTTTTCAAATTTTTGATAATTTTGAATAATTTTTTATTTTTTTCCAAAGAGTCGAGACAATTTAATAAGTAAAGTATTTTCCAAAAGCACAGAAATAATGAAGCTAAATCCCGTAAAAGAGAAGAAAAAATGTTGAATTTTAAGAAATTCGGATTTTTGAATTTTTTCGAATTTTTGATAATTTTAGATTTTTTACCAAAGAGTCGAGACAATTTAATAAGTAAAGTATTTTTCAAAAGCACAAAAATAATGAAGCTAAATCCCATTAAGGAGAGGAAAAAATGTTGAATTTTAAGAAATTCGGATTTTTGAATTTTTTCGAATTTTTGATAATTTTAGATTTTTTACCAAAGAGTCGAGACAATTTAATAAGTAAAGTATTTTTCAAAAGCACAAAAATAATGAAGCTAAATCCCATAAAAGAGAAAAAAAAATGTTGAATTTTAAGAAATTTGGATTTTTGAAGTTTTTCGAATTTTTGATAATTTTAGATTTTTTACCAAAGAGTCGACACAATTTAATAAGTAAAGTATTTTTCAAAAGCACAAAAATAATGAAGCTAAATCCTATAAAAGAGAGGAAAAAATGTTGAATTTTAAGAAATTCAATTTTTCAAATTTTTGATAATTTTGAATAATTTTTTATTTTTTTCCAAAGAGTCGAGACAATTTAATAAGTAAAGTATTTTCCAAAAGCACAGAAATAATGAAGCTAAATCCCGTAAAAGAGAAGAAAAAATGTTGAATTTTAAGAAATTCGGATTTTTGAATTTTTTCGAATTTTTGATAATTTTAGATTTTTTACCAAAGAGTCGAGACAATTTAATAAGTAAAGTATTTTTCAAAAGCACAAAAATAATGAAGCTAAATCCCATTAAGGAGAGGAAAAAATGTTGAATTTTAAGAAATTCGGATTTTTGAATTTTTTCGAATTTTTGATAATTTTAGATTTTTTACCAAAGAGTCGAGACAATTTAATAAGTAAAGTATTTTTCAAAAGCACAAAAATAATGAAGCTAAATCCCATTAAGGAGAGGAAAAAATGTTGAATGTTAAGAAATTCGGATTTTTGAATTTTTTCGAATTTTTGATAATTTTAGATTTTTTACCAAAGATTCGAGACAATTTAATAAGTAAAGTATTTTTCAAAAGCACAAAAATAATGAAGCTAAATCCCATAAAAGAGAAAAAAAAATGTTGAATTTTAAGAAATTTGGATTTTTGAAATTTTTCGAATTTTTGATAATTTTAGATTTTTTACCAAAGAGTCGACACAATTTAATAAGTAAAGTATTTTTCAAAAGCACAAAAATAATGAAGCTAAATCCTATAAAAGAGAGGAAAAAATGTTGAATTTTAAGAAATTCGGATTTTTGAATTTTTTCGAATTTTTGATAATTTTAGATTTTTTACCAAAGATTCGAGACAATTTAATAAGTAAAGTATTTTTCAAAAGCACAAAAATAATGAAGCTAAATCCCATAAAAGAGAAAAAAAAATGTTGAATTTTAAGAAATTTGGATTTTTGAAATTTTTCGAATTTTTGATAATTTTAGATTTTTTACCAAAGAGTCGACACAATTTAATAAGTAAAGTATTTTTCAAAAGCACAAAAATAATGAAGCTAAATCCTATAAAAGAGAGGAAAAAATGTTGAATTTTAAGAAATTCAATTTTTCAAATTTTTGATAATTTTGAATAATTTTTTATTTTTTTCCAAAGAGTCGAGACAATTTAATAAGTAAAGTATTTTCCAAAAGCACAGAAATAATGAAGCTAAATCCCGTAATAGAGAAGAAAAAATGTTGAATTTTAAGAAATTCGGATTTTTGAATTTTTTCGAATTTTTGATAATTTTAGATTTTTTACCAAAGAGTCGAGACAATTTAATAAGTAAAGTATTTTTCAAAAGCACAAAAATAATGAAGCTAAATCCCATTAAGGAGAGGAAAAAATGTTGAATTTTAAGAAATTCGGATTTTTGAATTTTTTCGAATTTTTGATAATTTTAGATTTTTTACCAAAGAGTCGAGACAATTTAATAAGTAAAGTATTTTTCAAAAGCACAAAAATAATGAAGCTAAATCCCATTAAGGAGAGGAAAAAATGTTGAATTTTAAGAAATTCGGATTTTTGAATTTTTTCGAATTTTTGATAATTTTAGATTTTTTACCAAAGATTCGAGACAATTTAATAAGTAAAGTATTTTTCAAAAGCACAAAAATAATGAAGCTAAATCCCATAAAAGAGAAAAAAAAATGTTGAATTTTAAGAAATTTGGATTTTTGAAATTTTTCGAATTTTTGATAATTTTAGATTTTTTACCAAAGAGTCGACACAATTTAATAAGTAAAGTATTTTTCAAAAGCACAAAAATAATGAAGCTAAATCCTATAAAAGAGAGGAAAAAATGTTGAATTTTAAGAAATTCGGATTTTTGAATTTTTGATAATTTTCGATAATTTCACATTTTTTACCAAAGAGTTAAGACAATTTAATAAGTAAAGTATTTTCCAAAAGCACAAAAATAATGAAGCTAAATTCTATAAAAGAGAGGAAAAAATGTTGAATTTTAAGAAATTCGGATTTTTGAATTTTTGATAATTTTCGATAATTTCACATTTTTTACCAAAGAGTCGAGACAATTAAATAAGTAAAGTATTTTTCAAAAGCACAAAAATAATGAAGCTAAATCCCATAAAAGAGAGGAAAAAATGTTGAATTTTAAGAAAATCGGATTTTTGAATTTTTGATAATTTTAGATTTTTTACCAAAGAGTCGAGACTATTAAATAAGTAAAGTATTTTCCAAAAGCACAAAAATAATGAAGCTAAATTCTATAAAAGAGAGGAAAAAATGTTGAATTTTAAGAAAATCGGATTTTTGAATTTTTTCGAATTTTTGATAATTTTAGATTTTTTACCAAAGAGTCGAGACTATTAAATAAGTAAAGTATTTTCTAAAAGCACAAAAATAATGAAGCTAAATCCCATAAAACAGAAGAAAAAATGTTGAATTTTAAGAAAATCGGATTTTTGAATGTTTGATAATTTTCATTAATTTTAGATTTTTTACCAAAGAGTCGAGACTATTAAATAAGTAAAGTATTTTCCAAAAGCACAAAAATAATGAAGCTAAATCCCATAAAACAGAAGAAAAAATGTTGAATTTTAAGAAAATCGGATTTTTGAATTTTTTCGAATTTTTGATAATTTTAGATTTTTTACCAAAGAGTCGAGACTATTAAATAAGTAAAGTATTTTCCAAAAGCACAAAAATAATGAAGCTAAATTCTATAAAAGAGAGGAAAAAATGTTGAATTTTAAGAAATTCAGATTTTTGAATTTTTGATAATTTTCGATAATTTCACATTTTTTACCAAAGAGTCGAGACAATTTAATAAGTAAAGTATTTTCCAAAAGCACAAAAATAATGAAGCTAAATCCCATTAAGGAGAGGAAAAAATGTTGAATTTTAAGAAATTCGGATTTTTGAAATTTTTCGAATTTTTGATAATTTTAGATTTTTTACCAAAGAGTCGAGACAATTTAATAAGTAAAGTATTTTCCAAAAGCACAAAAATAATGAAGCTAAATCCCATTAAGGAGAGGAAAAAATGTTGAATTTTAAGAAATTCGGATTTTTGAATTTTTTCGAATTTTTGATAACTTTAGATTTTTTACCAAAGAGTCGAGACAATTTAATAAGTAAAGTATTTTTCAAAAGCACAAAAATAATGAAGCTAAATCCCATTAAGGAGAGGAAAAAATGTTGAATTTTAAGAAATTCGGATTTTTGAAATTTTTCGAATTTTTGATAATTTTAGATTTTTTACCAAAGAGTCGAGACAATTTAATAAGTAAAGTATTTTTCAAAAGCACAAAAATAATGAAGCTAAATCCCATAAAAGAGAGGAAAGAATGTTAAATTTTAAGAAATTCGGATTTTTGAATTTTTGATAATTTCCGATAATTTTAGATTTTTTACCAAAGAGTCGAGACAATTTAATAAGTTAAGTATTTTTCACATTAAAAAGTTTGACATTAAAAAATATATAAAAAATGCTAATACTTAACCCACAAAATTAAATTTTCAAAACAAACAAATGAATGCAGATTATTTGCTAACGGAAAGGAAACTTACGATTATTATAATGTATGTATATGTATATGTATATTTCTATTTTCTATCAGGCTGCGTCTACAATAGAAAAAAATAATGTGTAATTTGTAGTGTAATGTGTATTGTTTTTGGCATTGACAACTGTCAGGGTCAATAACACTATATATTACACAATTTTCTACACATTATTTTTTCTGTTGTAGACGCAGCCTCAAAACGTATAAAAAACAAAAGAATAACTATAACTAACTTCAAGTGTGGACAGAGATCCGGAAATCTGGAATCACGACGATTATTATAATTATTATAAAAATAAAATTCTTTTTAATTTAAAATGGAGTTTTTGTATTTAAATAATTTAATTCCAGAAGGACTTTTTAAAAATTAATTAAAAGGAAGGGTTATAATTGTAATTTTTAAAAATTATAAAAATATTCATAAATTTTACTCATTTTCCTGTAAAAATAATTTTTCCAGGGAAAATAATTGTAATATTTATTTATTTAATAATATATTAATAAATTGTCAGGGAAATTGATGGACTGAAACTTGTGACCACCCTGAAAATTAAAATTTTCATTTTAAACATTAAATTTCTGGTTTAAAAATTAGATTTTTATTTTTAAATATTTTTTTTAATAACAATAATATGAAAATAAAATTGATTCATTTAACTTTAATTTTTTATGAAAATTCGAGAAAACTAGAGTTAATTCTAAAAAACCTCAAAAGATTTTTTTTTATACTAGACCTAACATTTTTTAATTTTATCAGTGAACAAATATCTGTAAGAGAAAGTTTTTAGTGATAAGACTTTTAAGTTAGGTAAATTTTGTCGAGCCTTTATTTTTTTTATTTTTATTTTATTGGATTTGGTTTTTTTTATTGAATTTTCCCCACAATAAGAACTATTTTTGATATTTTTTTTTATTAAATTATTAAATTTTAATGAAAAATCTTCAAGTTTAAATTTAATAGAACTGAAAATTATTTTCTAAAAATGATATTAAAATATTTTTGAAAAAAGTGATTCTCAGTATTTTTTCATTCTAATTTTTAAAATTCAATTATTTTCAATATTTCCGAAAATTTAAATACATACAAAAAAAAAGTAACATTAAAATTTTTTAGAATTATTTTTAACATTTTAAAGAAAATAATCATGTTAAAAATTTTTAATAAAAATTCTTTAAAACAATACAATTGTAAAACTATTGTCTTTCAAAAGTTATTTAAAAATATTTTAAAAAAATTAATATTAAAAATTACTTTATTAAAATTCTTGAAAATATTCTATCTATCATATTTGATGAAGTTTAGTTAAAAATTGTAGAAAATAATTAAATTTTGAAAGGATTAATTTATTATAGAGTTGTAATTTTTAGAAATTATGAAATTTCAGAAGTTGAAACTTTTTAAATTTTATTTACCGTGAAAAAAGAGATAAGAAGTATTTAAATATTTATTTAATAAAATTATTCAAGTTTTGATTAATTGAATTTAGAAATCAGTGAAGAATCAGAGAAATACAAAATAAAATTTTTGTGACAACATTAAATTAAATATACGAGTTTTTTTTTGCTTTTAGGAAGCGAGGATCCAAATAGAAACAAGTACAAATTGTTTTTGGAGTGTACACTGATTTTAACGTCGGTCGTTCCTCCGGAATTGCCAATTGAATTGTCATTGGCTGTGAATACGTCTTTATTAGCATTATCAAAATTAGGTAACCATGAAACAATTGAAATTTTCTTGTAAATTTAAATTTAAATATTTAATTTTTGTTTCTAAAATTGATAATAATTCTTTAATTAATTTTTCCCAAGGTGTATTTTGTACCGAACCGTTTAGAATTCCATTCGCTGGAAAAGTCGAAATTTGCTGCTTCGACAAAACGGGAACTCTCACTAGCGATAATTTAGTAGTAGATGGCATCGCTGGAATTAAGTAAGTTACAGAATAAATAGAAATAAAAATAGTATAAAATGTAAAACAAAATGGAAATTATAAATTTGATTCTTTTTTTCTCTTTTTTTAGTGGAAAACCGGAAGTAACGGAAATAGCGGACGCTCCAATTGAGAGTATTCAAGTTCTAGCAACGTGCCATTCCCTAGTGCAATTAGACGATGGAATTGTTGGCGATCCTGTCGAGAAGGCGACACTGAAAGCGGTCAATTGGAACCTGACAAAAAGTAACTTAAAAAAAAATAGAAAAACGAAAATAAAAAAAAATACAAAAAATTTATAATTATCTTCCTTCTTTTATTCTACAGGCGATGCAGTAATTCCAAAACGTGGCAAATCGGCAGTTTTGAAGATAATTCAACGTTTCCATTTCTCCTCGGTGCTGAAGCGAATGAGCGTAGTGGCCGGTTACACAAATTCCGGTTCGTCTGACGTTCAATTTGTGGTGACAGTGAAGGGAGCGCCAGAAACTTTAAAACCAATGTTCAGCTCAATTCCGGAGAATTATGACGATGTCTATCTATCGCTGTCGCGTTGTGGTGCACGTGTCCTCGCACTTGGACATCGAAAATTACCAGCTGCATTGACACATCAGGATTTAAGGAAATTGAATCGCGAGGACTTTGAGAAGGACTTGAGTTTTGCTGGATTTGTCATCATCACATGTCCATTGAAACCGGATTCGAAGGCGGTGATTAAGGAGATACAAAATGCGTCACATTCGGTTGTGATGATCACGGGCGATAATCCACTGACTGCATGTCACGTTAGTCGTGAATTGCATTTCACTAGGAAGTCGATTATTTTAATTTTAACACAAGTTCAAGGCTCGTGGCTCTGGCAGAGTGTTGAGGGTGATCTTGAGGTGGATTTACATCCAAAGAAGGGTAGTTTTAAGGGGAAGAAAATATGGGAGGTTTATGCTCTTTGCGTCACGGGTGAGGTAAGAAAATAAAGATAAAGATAAATTAAAATAAAGTTTTAAATTAAAATAAAGTTTTAAATTAAATTATTATTTAAATTTTCAATTACTAAATAAAAATAAAAGTTGTGAATTTTAATTCTTTCTTCTTCGCAGGGTTTAAATTACTTGAAAATAAATGAAAAGTCGTTGCTGAAGACGTTGCTACCACATGTTGTTGTTTTCGCTCGTTGCGCACCGAAACAGAAAGAATTTATCGTTACTTCGCTGCAGGGTCAAGGATACACGACTCTTATGTGTGGCGATGGAACCAACGATGTCGGAGCTCTAAAACACGCCCAAGTTGGTGAGGAATATTTTTATTTTTCTCCTTTTCCAATTTCTGTTTTTTTTTTCTTTTAGAATTTACACTATTTTAAATTCGCAAAAATTAGAAATCAAAAAACTATTCGAAAACATTATAATCAAATTCTTTAAAACGATTCAATTACTTTTCAAAAAATATTCGACATTCAATTATTTTCAATATCTAGTATTTTCATCAAATTTCGCAAAAGAATTCAATTATTTAAAAAAAAATGGATAAAATTCTTCTGAAATTCAATGATTTTCAAAAATGGTAGAATAGTAGAATAGTAGAATTTCTTTATTTGTTCAAGGAAACCATGTGATTTCCACAAGAATTCAATTATTTAAAATAATATTCTCATAATATTTGTTATATTTCGAAAAAATTAATTATTTAAAACAATATTTATTAAATTCTTATGAAGAATTCAATTATTTAAAAAAAAACATTTTTCACAGAAATTCAATTCTTTTTAAAAAATCTAAAAAAAATTGTCAATATTTTAATTATCTTTATAAATGAATAGCAAAATTCAATTATTTTCAGGATTTTTGATAAAATGGATTGCAAAATTCAATTATTTTCAAAAGTTAATAAAAATCAATTATTTAAAAAAATTTTAATAAAATTCATAGCAAAATTTCAATTATTTTTAAAAATATTTCTTAATTAAATGATTTTCAATATTCTACTATTTTAATAAAATTTCCCAAAAGAATTTAATTATTAAACAAAAATGTTGACAATATTCTACACGAACTTCAATTATTTTCCAAAAAAAAAAAAATGATAATTTTACAGGAATTCAATTATTTAGAATAGAATTTGTATAAATTTTTTTAAAAAAATCAAATGTTTTAAAATTTGGCATTAAATTCTTCGCAGTAATTCAATTATTTTCATAAATTTTAAAATTCTTCTCAGGGATTTAATTATATACATAAATAACAATATTCATAAGAAAATTCAATTACTTTCAAAAGTTTTTAATAAAATTCATTGAAAAATTTCAATCATTTTAAAAAATTTTTCTTAATGTAATAATTTGTATAACTTTAATTTTAATAAAATTTTCCAAAATAAATTCAATTATTTAAAAACAATTTTGACAAAGTTCTACACAAATATTCAATACAATTTTAATCGAATTCCTCGAAAAATTTAATTATTTTTAAAAATTGTATTAATGGATTTTTAGAAAAATTCTTATTTAATTTTCTAGAATTTTTAACTAAAATTATACTCAAACTTTAATAATTTCTCAATTTAATTAATTTTTAAAAATTTATTAAAATTCTTCGTAAAGAATTAAATTATATTCAAATGTTTTAATGAAATCCTTCGCAAGAATTAAATTATTTTTAAATATTAAAAAAATTCTTCGTTAGAATTAAATTGTATTGAATCTTTTAAAGAAATTCTTCGAAGGAATTCAATTATTTTTGAAAATTTTAATAATATTCTTGAGCAACTATTCAATTATTTTCATAAATAATAAAATTGATCACAGGATTTCAATTATTTTTAATATAATTTTACAGAAATTGCTCAAAACATGTAATTATTCTTAAAACTTGAATATCAATTTCTCGAAAAAATCAATTATTTTAAAAAATGTTTTTTTTATTAAATTTATTTATTTATTTTACAGGTGTGGCAATTTTGTCAAGTCCTCCCGAAAGTGTCTCCTCGGAGAAACGCGATAGTACGCCATCGACGCCAACTGTAAATTCGCCTCCAAATAGTAAATTACCTCCAGGTCAACAGTCGAATGCTAGAAGTAATTTACAAAAATCGCTATTGAAGGAACTAGAGGAACAGGATCAGGCAGTAATAGTGAAATTGGGAGACGCATCGATTGCTGCGCCATTCACCAGTAAATGGTCATCTATCCAATCGAGTATGTTTGTTTTAAATTTTTTCTGTTTTTTGTTTCAGGTAATTTGCCGTATCTGTCTCTATTAATCATTACCCATCGATTTTCTTAAAAACCAACAAATCGTAATAATGCAGAAAACAATTTGTTTTTTGCTGACTATCAATTTAAATTGATAGAGAAAGCCTCGGGCTTCTTAAAACCAACAAAATAAAAAGAAAAAGCAAAATAATGCAACATTAAAAAAGGGGGAATTTTTATTGGAAACGGAAGTTGAAAAAAATTAGTTTAAAGATTTTGAATATTTCAATTTAATAAAAGACATTTATTTTTTATTATTTCATTTTAAAACTTGAAATTTCATTTAAAAAATTTATTTGCAGATTAAAATTAGAAATTCTATTTAAAAAATTTAATTTCAAGTTTAAACATTAAAATCTAGTTGGAAAATAATAAAGTTTTATAATTAAAAATTTTTAATATCTATTGTAAAAATTAGTATTTTATGTTAAATGCTCAATTTCTAGTTTAAAAATTACACCAAAAAAAATAGAATTCTAAACAAAATTTATTTTCTTAAATTAAATTTCTGGCTTAAAAAATTAAACTTTTGCCTCAAATAATAAATTTTTTATTAAAAATTAAAATTTTAAATTTAATTAAATTTAAATTAAAAGTTTAAATTCACTTCATTTTTAAATAAATATTCAAATATTAATTTCTAGAAATTTTAACTAAAATTCTTCTTTAAATCAATTAATTTTTATAATTTTTCAAAAAAGTTCTTTTTTGAGAATTTTTAGATAAATTTGTTTAAAGTTCCATTTTATATAAAATTCCAATTATTTGAAAATTCTTTAATTAAATATACAATAGAAAAAAAAAATTTGAAATAATTTAAAAAATTTCAATTATGCTTTTGGAAAAAAATTGGTCCCATAGAATTTTTAATTAAAAGTATGAAAAATTTAGATTTTCAAAGATTTTAAGTTGAAACCTTTAGAAAATTCAATTATTTCTAAAAAATTGCAATTATTAGTAAATTCTCAAAAATTCAATTATTATCTAAAACTTTAACTGAAATTAATTTTTGAATCAATTTATATTAGAAAATTCTACGAGAATTCAATTATTTAAATACAAACATAGATAATTTATTAAATAATTAAATGTTTCTTAAAATTGAATACTTTGTCAACAAATTTTTAAATAATTGAATTCTTTTGACGAACTTAAATAAAATTTTGAAGAATATTTTACATTTTTCGAGAAATTCGATTAAAATTGTATTAAAAATAATTAAAATTCTAAAATGAGATATGTTATTTATGAAAATGATTGAATTATTGCGAAGAATTTTATGCAAGAATTTATGTTTTTGAAAATAATTCAATTCCTGTAAAGAATTCAATTCCTTTTGGTAAATAATTCATTTCCTTGTAAAGAATTCAATTACTTTTTGGTAAATAATTTTATTTCTGTCAAGAATTTTAGGAAAAGTTTTTAAATATTTGAACTCCTGCTAATAATTTTTGAAAATAATTGAATTCCTTGTGAAGTTGTTATTAATTTTCAAAAATATTTGATTTTCTGGGAAGAATTTTAGGAAAAGTTTTTAAATATTTGAATTCCTGCTAATAATTTTAATAATTTTTGAAATTTGATTTTCTGGGAAGAATTTTATAGCTTTTTTTTAAAAAATAATTAAATCTCTGCGAAGAATTTTAATTGAATTTTTGGAAATAATTGAATTCCTGTGAAGAATTTTATTAGTTTTTAAAAATAATTGAATTCCTTATCGAAGAATTTTTTTTTTTATGGAAATAATTGAATTCCTTCAAAGAATTTTGTTATTTTTGAAAAATAATTGAATCGTTGTGAATAATTTGATTACTTTTTTGCAAATAATTGAATTAACTGTGAAGAACTTTATTAAAAGTTTTGAAAATAATTGAATTCTTGCGAAGAAAATTAATATTCTTTCTAGGAAATCAGTTAAAATTGTATTCAAAGTAATTGATTTCTTTTTAAAAAATATTATTAAATATTATTAATATTGTTACCTTTTTTTAAAATAATTAAATTCATTTGAAAAATTTTATAAAAATTGTATTGAAAATAATTGAATTACATTTAAATAATTTAAAAAATTGTTAAAGTTTGGAGTATAATTTTAGTTAAAAATTCTTTAAATTTTAAACTCTCCTAATTTTAATTTACTCTCATTTCTAAACGTCAATTAAATTTACGATTTATTTAAATATTAATCAGTGTTAAAGTCATAATTTTAATTGTTATGAATTATCAAGATATTGATAGAAAAAACGCGTTTTTTTCACAAATTATTTTTCTAATCATTTTTTTTTTTAAATATTAAACTTGAATTCTAGATTTTTTTTTAAATTCACTAAAGTTTATTTAACTAAAACTCGTTTTTCTCTTTACAGTTTGTCACATAATAAAACAAGGTCGTTGCACACTGGTGACGACATTGCAAATGTTTAAGATTCTTGCATTGAACGCCTTGATCTTGGCCTACAGTCAATCGGTTTTATACCTGGATGGAATTAAGTTCAGCGATAAGCAAGCGACCTTGCAGGGAATATTGCTTGCCGCCTGTTTTCTTTTTATATCGCGCTCAAAACCATTGAAAACTTTATCGAAACAACGACCACTGCCAAATATATTTAATTTCTACACCGTACTTACGGTCCTACTGCAATTTGCCGTGCATTTTTGTTGCCTTATTTTCCTCGTTCGCGAGGCTGCAATCATTTCTCCAAAGTGAGTATTCATTATTTTTCCTCTTTAATTATAATATTTTAATTACAATTTTAATTAATTTTAGTAATTTGTTTTATTTTAGTTAATTTTAATTAATTTTAGTAATTTGTTTTATTTTAGTTAATTTTAATTAAAATTTTAATTCATTTTAATTAAATTAAATTTCGTTCAATTAAAATTAATTAAATTAAGTTTTATTTAATAAAAGTAATTTTTAATATATAAAATTGACGCTTGATTTAATTAAATTGAATAAATTCGATTTGTGAATTGAATTAGCCGAACGAAATTGAATTGAAAATTTTTTTTAAGGAGCGATACACTGTCAGCGATACTTGCACCAAAAAATGTCACCGATACGGCGTCAATGGACGATTATTACGATGAGGAGGAACCATTTGAGGCGAATATTATTAACAGTACTGTGTACATAATTTCCATGGCACTTCAAGTCGCGACTTTTGCCATTAATTATCGGGTGAGTAAATTTTTCTATGTATTTTTGTTTCGAAGGCAAAAAAAAGGAGGAAAGAGAAAATTTTTCTGATTTTTTTTTTTTAGGGACAACCGTTTATGGAGAGTCTCTTGGAGAATAAATCTCTTCTCTACTCTCTCGTTGGATGTTCTGCCGCAATTTTAGCTCTGGCTTCCGGTTTGATTCCGGACACAGCACGTGAATTTGAAATTGTCGATTTTCCAAGCGAGGTGAGTTTGAAAATAAATATTGAAAAATTAATAAATTAAATAAAATTATAAATTAGAATTGGATTTTTAAAAATTTTAATTTCAACTCTGTTGAAATTAGATTCAATTTTAAAAATTTTAATGCAATTCTTTGAAAGAATTCAACTATTTTAATAATATTAAAATTCTTTCCAGAAATTCAATTATTTTCAAAAATTTTTTAAAATTCTCGTCAACATTTTAATTATCTTTATAAATAACAAAATTCTTCGCCAAAATTCAATTATATTCAGGAATTTTTATAAAAATTTATTGTAAAATTCAATTATTTTTATAAATAACAATATTCATCACAAGAATTCAATTATTTTCAAAATTAATAAAATTCTTCGTAGAAATTCAATTATTTTCAAAAAATCTAAAAAAAAATGTCAACATTTTAATTATTTTTATAAATGAATAGCAAAATTTTTCGACAAAATTCAATTATTCTCAGGAATTAAAAATAAAATTAATTCTAAAATTCAATTATTTTCATAAATAATTGTATTCATCACAAGAATTCAATCATTTTCAATAGTATAATAAAATTCAATTATTCTCATAAAGTTTAATAAAATTAATGGCAAAATTTAAATTATTTTCAAAAATTTTTCTTCATTCAATGATTTTTAATGGCTATTTTAATAATCAGGGTGTCTAGCGAACCGGGAAATCGGGAAAAACCGGGAAAAACCCGGGAATTTGGTTCGACCTCAAAAAACCGGGAAAAACCCGGGAATTTTCTATTTATAGGGTATTTTTTGAATTATGTATATAAAAAATTATAATTTTTTTCAAAATCGTCAAGGGTAAATTGATAGTATGAAGCAGTAGTAAAAATAATAACTTTAATTTTATTTAAAACTAACTTTAGTATACGGTATATTATAAAAGTTAAAGGATTTGTACTATTATTATTTTTATATAACAATTTATAGGTATACAATACGTAACAAATTTTATAAGAAGAAATTAAGAATCTTCTGTGATATAGGAAAGGCAAAGATTTTACTTTTTAAAACTAAATACGGGGCACTCCATTTCAAAACGATCCTCCTTATAAACAATTGACATTGTAAGGCAATTTTTAAATCATTATTTCTTATATTTATTGAAGCCAAACTTTATTTACTATTAGTGGTTTTAAAACAAAAATTTACCAACTTTATAATGGTAGAAATTTTTTTTTTTAAATAATAGAATTTATGAAAAAAATTAAGTTTGAAAGATAACCTTTTTGAATATCTCAAAACACGTCGCATCCGATTTTCTTGAAACTTATGTAAAAATAAAGCTTAAATATTCTAGTTTAATTCTATGTAAACATTATAATGTGCAATTCATGGTTTGAGAAATTAATTAAATTTTACAAGTATTTCAAAGGTTGAGAAATTTTTATAAGTGAAATTTTGATATTCTATGTCAAGTTTTTAGAAATTATTGTATAACTTTAATCATTGTAATTTAATAAAAACAATATTTAATTACGTAAATAATGTTATTGATAAACATTTAAATATGTTTTTAAATCCTTTGTGAATATCCGGGAAAATTATTCAAGAACCCGGGAAAAAACCGGGAATTTTAAATTGACGATTCGCTAGACACCCTGATAATCATTGCAAAATTTCAATTATTTAAAAAAAAATTTCTTAATTCAATCATTTGTATTTCTATTATTTTAATAAAATTTCCCGAAAGAATTCAATTATTTAACAACAATTTTGACAAAGTTCTACAAGAATAATCAATTATGTTCTAAAATAATGGAAATTTCACAGGAATTCAATTATTAAAAATAGAATTTGCATAAATTTTCTGAAAAAAAACATTTTTTGCAACTTTTTTTATAAAGTTCTTCCCAATAATTCAATTATTTTCATAAATAATAAAACTCATTGCAGAATTTCAATTATTTTTAATACAATTTCACTCGAATTCCTCGAAAAAAGGAATTCAATTATTTTCAAAAATTAATTTAAATTCTTCGCAGAGATTCAATTATTTTTCAAAAAAAGCAATAAAATTCTTCCCAGAAAATCAAATATTTTTGAAAATTAATAACAACTTCACAAGGAATTCAATTATTTTCAAAAATTATTAAAATTATTAGCAGGAGTTCAAATATTTAAAAACTTTTCCTAAAATTCTTGACAGAAATAAAATTATTTACCAAAAAGTAATTGAATTCTTTACAAGGAAATGAATTATTTACCAAAAGGAATTGAATTCTTTACAGGAATTGAATTATTTTCAAAAACATAAATTCTTGCATAAAATTCTTCGCAATAATTCAATCATTTTCATAAATAACAAATCTCATTTTAGAATTTTAATTATTTTTAATATTAATCGAATTTCTCGAAAAATGTAAAATATTCTTCAAAATTTTATTTAAATTCGTCAAAAGAATTCAATTATTTAAAAATTTTTTGATAAAATTTTTTGAAAAAGAATTCAATTTTAGAAACATTCAATTATTCAATAAATTATCTATATTTGTATTTAAATAATTGAATTCTCGTAGAATTTTCTAATATAAATTGATTCAAAAATTAATTTCAGTTAAAGTTTTAGATAATAATTGAATTTTTGAGAATTTACTAATAGGGTAGAGTGGGGTAAAAAAGCCACATTTTTACTTTTGATGCTGTAAAATCTGTATTTAAAATTTTTTTCACAAATTTCCAATTGTTATTGAAAGTTTAGTTATTAAGCTTAAAAATTCTTGACGGAAATATTTTTTATCTCATAAAAGGACTAAGTTATAAGAGTTTTACGAAAGCACTGTAAGTGGCTTTTTTGCACCTGGTGGGGTGAAAAAGCCACCCTACGATTTTAGCAAAACATGTTATCAATTTAGGTATTTTTATAGTTTTCCTTTATTTATATGACAAATAGTCTTATTTGAAAAATATTTTAATAATTATGAAAGAGTTTTTAGCAAGCAAAATTGAAAATTATATTAAGTTTACCTGTTTTCGATTTGCACTGCCAATTTTTCGTACCTTTTTTAGAAGTTCTCTTTAAGTTTCACCACTGATAACATATTTCGTTGCAACCGTTTATTCATTGTTTATTTTTTTAATGCACTTTGCACTACTTTTTGTCGTGTTTAATTAATTTTATTAAATAAACACGAGAAATTTTGTAAAATAAGAAGGTTAGTTTAAATAGAAAACAAGTGAATTTCACAAAATATTCAATGGATTTTTTGCCCTGGCTTTTTTACACCCAAGACCAGTTATTAAAAAAGCAAAAATAAATTTTTAATTCAGTTCAATTTCCAAAAATTAACATTGTATACGTTTTCGGTATACTTTTCTCCTTATGCACAAATATTTACTTTTATTATTCGTTCACTTAATCAGATTGTAATATGTTTGAAAAGTTCGCCAAAATGTTTTCAAAAAAGCAACAAAAAATTAAAATTACAATAAAAACAATATTAATTTAGGTACAACATTCAAACTGGATTCAAAAGTTGCGTATTACCTAATAGTATTTATATTCTAAACAGCTGATAAATCGGCTTAATAGTTTTTAAATAAAACTCAAATGGCTTTTTTACACCATGGCTTTTTTACCCCACTCTACCCTAATTGCAACTTTTTAGAAATAATTGAATTTTCTAAAGGTTTCAACTTAAAATCTTTGAAAATCTAAATTTTTCATACTTTTAATTAAAAATTCTATGGAACCAATTTTTTTCCAAAAGCATAATTGAAATTTTTTAAATTATTTCAAAATTTTTTTTTCTATTGTATATTTAATTAAAGAATTTCCAAATAATTGGAATTTTATATAAAATTGAACTTTAAACAAATTTATCTAAAAATTCTCAAAGAAGAACTTTTTTGAAAAATTATAAAAATTAATTGATTTAAAGAAGAATTTTAGTTAAAAATTCTAGAAAATAATAATTGAATTGAAATGATGAAAATAATTTTGAAGAAGTTACAGTAAAATTTATTCTTATAAGTTATTAATTTTCAAAAGGTTTTTTTTTGAGTATCTAATCATTTTTAATGTCGATTAAAAATATTCTTTAGGTTCAGGGAAAAAGTCAAACTAATTAAAAACAAACAATTAGTTAATAAATTGAAAACTTATTTTTACTTCTTTTTCAAACATAAAAAATGTAAATTTTAAAATAACGAAAATTTTCTTTTTCTTTCAGTTCCGGAAAACGCTGATTACAACATTATTCGCCAATTTTCTTCTCGCATATATGGTTGATCGAGTTTGCCGTTGGTTATTTGGCGAAGGAAAACACGAAAAACTGTGATCCAAGTAATTTGCTAATTGCAATAATAATAAATTCTTTTTTCCCCTGGCGAAAATTTCTACTATTTAGAATTTTTCCTCGGACAACAAAAAAAAAAAAAAAGAAAAGAAAATAGCACATTACGTATTTTTCGCATACATCGATAGCCTTATTTTCTACTTGAATTCCATTTTTCACAAAAAAAAAAAAAACTAAGAACAGAGGGAGTACTTTTTCATAAAAAAAAAATTGTCCCTCTGGTGAAATATTAAAAATATAAATATTATAAATATTATAAAAATTTTGTTTTCGAACTCTTAGATCTCAAGTTTATTATTAATGCCATCATTATAAATATTATTATCTATTGTAAATAATTGTGCAAATTAGAAAATTTTCTACATTCCGTACCTTTTTTTTGTCTTTTCTTCACAAAATGTTTGTATAGATTTTTGACTGTGTGTACGAAGATTTTTAATTGTTGATATATAAAAAAGAAAATACGAGCGATGACAATGAATTTTTTCCTGTATAAGACAATGTGTGAAAAAATGAAACAAAGTATGTTTGAAAAAATTACTTTTAGCGATTAAAATAATCTGTAAGATATACGCGTGACTGATAGTTTGCGTTGTGAGAAAAAAATATATAAAACGATTTTTTAAATAAACTTGAATAATAGATTGTATTGTAAAGTTAAATTGTGTTCGTTTCATTTTATTTCGTTCAAATTTGAAAAATTAGATTGTTTTCTGCTTCTGGGGCGTAAAAGGCCTATTTTTAGCCCTACGATCATTCTAAGATAATCTTTTTTTATTTTTTGTTAAAACTATTTTTTTGTTCTAGGGTGTAAAATATCAATTTTTAACCCTACGATCTTCTGAAGAAGATTTAAATATTTTTAGTTAAACAAAATTGTTTTTTTTGCTTCTAGGGTTAAAAATTGGTATTTTACACCCTAGAAGCAAAAAAACAATTTTACGATTTTCCGAAGAAAATTTAAATATTTTTAGTTTTGAATAAAAAAAATTTTTGTTCTAGGGTGTAAAATATCCACTTTTAACCCTAGAAGAAAGAAAGAAAAGAAAAAAAAGGAAAGAAAGAAAGAGATCCAATTTTTTAATTTTTCTTAAATTCTCCAGAAATTTTTCCAGGAAATATCATTTTTTTTTATTCGAAAAAAAATCAGGAAAAATTCATTCTTTGTTAATGAGAAAAATATTATTTGTTCTCCACTCAATGTTAATTTGTTATCGTAAATTTGCATTATGAACGTAAAATATTTAAATTATCCGGTAATTCTTTCAAAGAAGTTGAAAATATTATAAAAATCGAGAGAGGAAAAAATTTCCAAGAAAATTCGCGTATAATTTTTTTGCAAAATGAATTCCATTTTTTTTCTCATTATCCCTGCAAGTTTAAAGCGACAGACAATGTGTGACCTTGTCATTTCTTAATTTGTCATGTGCAACGTTTAATTATAATCTCATTCAAACACTGTCTTGTCGCATTGTTTGTATTCGTAATTTCGATTTTTTTTGCAACTCCCGTCTCGGTGAGATAATTGTTAATAATTCCGATTAAAAGTTGTAGAACAAAAAAATTTTATTTCAATTTGTGATGTAATATTGACGAGTTTTTTAAATTAAAAAAAATTTGTTTTTATTATTTAAAAAATTTTTTTTTTAAATTTATTCATTTACTCTTTCTCTTTCTTTTCATTATTTATATATTTGTTTAAAAAATAAAATATAAATAAATAATAATATACAAATAGTAATATAAAAAATATTAAAATAACAAAATAAAAATAATAGAAAAAATATTTTTTTTAGCATTAAAAATATTAAAATAATAAAAATATTTTCTTTTGAGTTAATAAAAATTCATATTTTACTAATAATAACGAAATTAATATTAAGATTATTAAATAATAACCTGATAATATTTTTTTAAAAAATAATTTTAATTTAAAAAAAAAATTTTCTTTATTATTATTAGTAAAAATATTAAATTTAAATAAATTAAAAACATAAAATATACTACAAAATAATTAAACTATATACAAAATATTTATATTTTTTTAAAATTAAAATTAAATTACAAAAAAAAAATTAAAATAAAAAATTTTTAATTCCACAATTGACGAGAATTTAAATTCTTTTTTTTAATTACCAAGAAAAGTATAAAAAGAGAAATTGTATTATTTTATACTCAACATTTTTGTGCAAATAAAATTTAATTTATCTAAAAGAAAAATTTTATTCAAGATCAAATTGTTATTATTAATAATAATAAATTTTTTTTTAAAGTAAAAAGAAGGGAAATTCAATTATTTCATACTCCACATTTTTGTGCAAATAAAATTTAATTTATCCGAAAGAAAAATTTTATTAAACACCAAATTGTTCTTATTAATAATAAGAAAAGTAACAAAAAGGGAAATGGAAATTTATCTTTTAAAAATTGAAATTTATTAAAATAATTGTAATTTTTTGAAATAATTGAAATTTACTTTTTGAAAAATTGAAAATTATTGGAAAAATGGAAATTTTATTGAAAAATTGAAATTCATCTTTTAAATAATTGGGGATTATTAAAATAATTGAAATTAAATAAATTAATTAAAATTTGCTTTTTGAAGAATTGAAATTTAATGGAAAATTAGAAAAAAAAAATTGAAATTGAATTTTATCTTCTAAAAAATTGTAATTTTTGGAAATAATTGAAATTTACTTTTTGAAGAATTGAAAATTATTGGAAAAATGGAATTTTATTAAAAAGTGATATTTATCTTTTAAAAAATTGTGATTTACTAAAAATAATTGAAATTTATTAAATGAATTGAAATTTGCTTTTTGAAGAATTGAAATTTATCTTTCAAAAATTGAAAATTTAATAAAATTAAATTTTTTCCAAAAAGAAAAATTTTATTGAAAAAAAAATTATTTAAAAAGAAAATTGAAACTTATTAAACAGAAAAAATTGATGTGTATAATTTTATGAATGAGAATAAATTTCAATGAAATTTGTTTTGTGGAAAAAGTTATGAAATATTCAAAAGTAGGTGAAAAAAATTACAATTATTTTTTTTTCCATTTCTTCTTTTTTCCTGATTGTAAAATAATTGTGAGTAGGGCAAATGAGGCGCGTCGAACGGAGCGATCAGCGAACCGGTTACCAGTCGTTGTTCGTCATTTGTCTCGTGGTCATTCCTGCAAGTTTTCGAATAACATTTAGAAACTAATGTGTGCGTGAACTCTTCATTTAAAATATTTGAAAGAAAACAAATAAATGTTTTCATTTAATTTTATTAGTTCAAGTGTTGGAAATTAAGAAGCAAAAAAAAAAAAATTAATTAAATTCTAAATTTAAAAAGTGATTTTTTTTCGAGGTAAAAATTAACAAATTTTTTTTTTACTTTTTGGATTTGATTTCATAATAAAAAGTGATCTATGGAAAATTTTCTATACATTTAACTGTCAAGTCACTGCATCGGAATAAAGTCCAATTTGGAAAATTTTCGAGAGGGGATAAAACTTTCACTTATTTTTTTCTCTCGTGCGGAGTTTATAAGTGAATAATTAAAATTAAGAAAATAAATAATAATTATAAGCATAAATAAAATAGTAAATAAAAATAAATAAAATAATAAACATAAGAAAAAATTAAATAGAAAAAAGTAATTAACGAGAAAAATTAGAATTTATATTCAATAATAAAAAAATACTCTAAAAAATATAAAAATTAATAAAATATTAATTAATAATTTATATTATTTATAGGTACATAATGGGTTTTTTTATCTAAACTCGTTTATGATTAAAATAAAATAATAATTTTGTAAATAACAAATAATAATTAACAGAACAAAATAATTTTTATTTTATTACTATTTATTTACTACTTAAATAAATAAATAAATAAATTTTTAATTTTACAAAATAAAATAACTGAAATTCGAACAAAATAGAATAAATAAACTTTATTACAAAATAAAATAAATTAAATTTATAACACAATAAAATAAATGAAATTTATTACAAAATAAAATAAATAAAATTTATTATAAAATAAATTAAATTTTCGTAACAAAAAAAAAATAAATAAAAAATTTTTTAAAAAGTAAAAATTAATGTTAAAATAAATAAAATAATGTTAAAATTGATTTTATAATTAATATTAACTAATTTTATTTTAATCATGTTGTTAATTATTTTGTTAATTAGTGGAAAAGAGAGTGAAAAGAAAAGACAATTATTGAGGAAAACTATTTAAGGAAAAAAAAAGAAATTTTTACACGCGTACACGTGGCTTTATTTATTGTGATAAGATTAATTTCTTTCCGCAATTTTTTTTTCTCTTATTTTGGAGTAAATGTAAAAATTGCGAAATGTGACAATAATATTTTAAATTAAAGGGAAAGAAATATTATAAGTGATAAAGTTTATCTTTCGTTTAGTGTATGGAAGTTTCTAACTACTATAAAATATACTTGTTACGTTCAAAACTAAATTTACAGAGGATCTATTTATAAGGTAAAATGGGAAGAGTCAAATTTTGCCTACATGACTGACACACAAATACAACTGCTTTTATAAATTTGATGATAAAATATTTCTCTACAAATAATTTCTTATTATTTTCTTTCTCTGATTCAAATAATAATTTTATTTTTTAATATTTAATAATAATAACAATAATAAATTAATTAATTTAATTATTATAATGATAGTAATAATATTATTTGTTATATTATTATTATTATTATTATTATTATTATTATTATTATTATTATTATTATTATTATTATTATTAGTATTAATAATTAATTAATTAATATTAAATGTAAATATTAATAATTTTTATTAATAATAATAATTAATTAACATAATAATTTTATTTTTCTGTAAAAATAAACATTTTTTCCATTAAAAATATTATTAATTGAATTCCTGCAACGAATTTTATTATTTATGAAGGAATTTAAATATTTTATAAAAACTAATTTAATTCTTGCGAAGAATTTTATAAAAATTTTTAATAATTAATTTCTTTTTACTAATTTTTGTGCAAATTCTAATTTAAATAATTGATTTCCTGAGAAATTTTTATTATTCATGAAAATAATTCAATTCTTACGAAACTTTTTACAAAAAATTTTTAAATAATTGAATTCTGTTTGGAAATTTTATGAAAATATAGTAGATATTGAAAATCGTTGAATAGCGAAAAATTTTTTAAAATAATTAAATTTTACAAAGAATTTTATTAAAAATTAAAAGAATAATTGAATTATTTTTAAAAAATTTAATTAAAATTATATTTAAAATAATTTCTTTCGAACAATTTTATTGAAATATTTGAAAATAATTGAATTATTTCTGTGAAAAATTCTAATATTTTTGTAAATAATTGAATTCATCCAAATAATTAAAAAGAAAATTTTTTTTTAAAATTTGATTTTTTTGAGGAATCGAAATTAAATTTTTAAGAATAATTGCATTTTTCATAAGAATTTTATAAACATTTTTTTAAATAATTAATTTTTTTGAAATATATAATAAATATTAAAGAAATTTTATTTTAAATAATTGAATTCTTGTAAAAAACTTTAATTATGAAAATAATTGAATTTTTCGTTTAACTAATTTAAAATAGTATTAAAAATAATTGAAATTCTTCGATGACTTTTATTATTTATAAAAATAATTGAATTCCTGCTTAAAATTTCATCAAAAATTTTTGTAAAAAATTGAATTTCCATGAGAAATGTTATTATTAGTGAAAATAATTGAATTATTGTGAAGAATTGTATAAAAATTTTGTTAAATAATTTTTTGTTATAATTATTAGTCTAAAATAATAAAAACCACAATACATTTTTTATTCATAATTTTCTTCATTGTTATAATTTTTTTTTTAGAAAAAATTGATTTAAAAAATTTTTTTTTTTTGCTAATATAATTGTTTAATTTTTTCTTTTGTTTGTAAAATAATGTTGGTTAAAAAAATTGAAGTATGGAAATGGAAAACTTTGTCCGTTTTTAGAACGAGAGAGAGAGAAAATGGTAAAGACCTTTCAAGGCAAACAAAAGAATTAAATAAACATTATGGAATAAGTCATTCAAACGATAATTAACAACGTAAAAGAATTCTTTTATCATCTTATTATCCATGTGTTTTTTAATCATTGAAGAAAATTTTTTTTTTTCATTCCAATTTTCAATTTCAACGTAGAAATTAAAAGTATTGAAAAAAGTCATTAAAAATAAATTTTTTTAATTTAAAAAAATTGTGATTTAGTAAAAGAATTGAAATTAATTGAATAAATTGAAATTTATTATAATAAAAAAAAATTAATTTAAGAAATTGAATGTAATTAAAATTTACTTTTTGAAGAATTGAAAATTATTGGAAAAATCGAATTTTATTGAAAAATTGGAATTTATCTTTAAAATAATTGAGATTTATTAAAAGAATTGAAATTTATTATAATAAAAAAAATAAATTTTAAAAAATTGAATTTTATCTTTTAAAAAATTGAAATTTTTGGAAAAAATGGAAATTTTATTGAAAAATTAAAATTAATCTTTTAAAAAATTGGGGTTTATTAAGGGCATTTGAAACTTGATGACGTCACACATGCTTTGCACAAACTGAAACGTCATCAAGGTTCAAATGCCCTTAAAATAATTGAAATTTATTAAATGAATTGAAATTTGCTTTTTGAAGAATTGAAATTTATTAGAATAATGGAAATTGTTTTGCAAAATGGAAATTTGTCTTTTAAAAATTGAAATCTATTAAAATAATTGAAAAAATTATATGGAAATAATTGATTGAAGCAATTAAAATTTACTTTTTAAAGAATTGAAAATTATGAGAAAAATGGAAATGTTATTGAAAAATTGAAATTTATCTTTTAAAAAATTGGGATTTATTAAAAGAATTGAATTAAATGAATTGAAATTTGCCTCTTGAAGAATTGAAAATTAAAATAATGGAAAATGTTTTACAAAATTAAAAATTATTTAAAAAAATTTTTAATTTATTAAAATAATTGAAAGATAATTGAAAAAAATTGAAATATATTATTGAAAAATTGAAAATTAATTGATAAATTGTAATGTTATTTAAAAATAAATTTTAAAATTGTCCCATAAAAAAATTAAATTGAAATTGTTTACAAAAAAATGCACTTAATTTTTTTTTTTTAAAAATACACTTAAATTATTTAACTGAATAAAAAATTAATTAATTATTATTTTTCATTGTAGTTTCATAAATAAATGCACACAAAAGATGTCAGAAATGGAAGAGAGATCATATTTTCATTGGGCCGATTGGTTTGTTTTTGCGTTGATGCTATTAATTTCTGCGGCGGCGGGAATTTGGCATTTCAGAAAAGCTCAAAAATCCAATACTGAAGTTTATTTATTGGGTGGAAAAGGAATGAGTCTTTATCCAGTCTCAGCTTCACTTGTTGCAAGGTAAAGAAAAAATTTCCATTTCTAACGAAAAACGAAAAAAAAAATTTGTTTTTAGATTTAATTATTATTTAATTATAATTTATTTTTATTTAATTATATTTGTATTTATTTTTATTCAATTTTTTATTAATTTTTTTTTATTATTTTTAAATTTTATTTTTCTATTTAATTTTTGAAATTTTTACTTTTTATTTTATTTTTTAAATTAATTTTTGATATTTTTCTTTTTATTTAATTTTTTTACATTTTTTAATTTAATTTATTTTTTTATTTAATTTTTATTTATTTTCTTTCTATTCATTCTTTTTATGTAATTGTTACTAATTTTTTTATTTACTTATCAATTAAAAAAAATTATCTCAAAACCAAAGCGAATATTAAATAAAAAAGAACAAAATTCGTTTTTTTTGCAGTTTTATATCGGGTGTAACAATTTTGGGCACACCGGCAGAAATTTACAATTTTGGTACCCAATATTGGATAACAATAATCTCAATTCTTCTTTCTGGAATTGGCGTTGCACTCGTTTATCTTCCAGTTTTCTTCACTCTAAAACTTAATTCCGCTTACGAGGTTCGTACATTTTAGAAAAATTATTTTTGTAAAAAAAATTAAAAAAAAAATTATTTTTAAAAATTATTTTTTTTCTATTTTTATTTCATTTTTATTATTATTATTATTATTATTATTATTATTATTATTATTATTATTATTATTATTATTATTATTATCATCAATACTATTTTCACTTTTATATTTTTACTATATTATTATTATTTCTTATAAATATTATTAATTTTCTTATGATTACCAAAATTTGAGACAAAAACTTTACCACTTGTGAGAAAGTCAGCGGCGCCCTCTGGCAATTAATTCAAGCGCGGGCTTTTTTAAAAATTCAAATTTACTTTTTTCGTTTTTATTAAACTAATTTCATTGTGTGGATAATAATCGTAATAATTATAATGATAGTAATAAAAATAATAATGATAATGATAATAATAAAAATATGAATAATAATGCCAAAGAAGAAAAAAGAATAATAGTACCTAATAATAATACCTAATAAAAATAAGAATAAAAATACTAAAAATAAAAATAGAAATAATAATAGTTATTTTTATTATTAAAAAATATAAATAAAATTATTATTAAATTATACCTATTAATTAATCGTTTATTTATTTTATTTCCAGTATTTGGAGTTAAGATTCAACTCGTCAGTGAGAATTTTAATTTCCCTCATTTTTGTCGTCGACGTGGTGAGAAAATAAAATTTTTATTTCTTTATTTCAAATATTTAAAAATGTTAAAAAAAATATTTTCACGTCACAGTTTGAGAGAGAGAGAGAAAGAATTTTACTTTTTTAATAATTGAAAGAAGAAGAAAAAAAGATTAAATTAAAATTAGAAAGAAGAAAGACTAAAATAAAAAAAAGTAAATTTTAAGTATTTAATGATTAAATAGTATTCAATAATTATACGATTTGAAAAAAATAAAATTTCCAGACACGTTTTATTTGAGGACAAGTGAGAGCGAGGTCATTGTACTTATTGTATGGAGTTAAAGTACAAAATTAACATAATTGTTGACCATTTAGTGAAAGAAAAATAAAAGCATTTTGTTATTTTTTCAATACACTTAATTTTTTTCATGGTCAATAAAAAGACATTTTTTTCAATTAAATTCATTGTTTAGAAGAACTTTTTAATAAAAAAAAGTTATTTTATATTAAATTTAAAAATTTCTTTATTTTTAATAATAATAATAATAGTAATAATATTAATAGTAGTATTAACAATAATAGTAATAATAGTAAATAAAATAAATTGACTAAAAACGAAAAAATAAATTTGGAGATTTGAAAAAGCCCGCGCTTAAAATTAATTGCCAGAGAGCGCGATTGACTTTCTCGCAAGTGGTAATTTCAACTTACTAAAAATAATAAAAATTGCTTAAAAAAATAATTTTAAATGTTCTAAATATAAATTATTATTCTAAAAACATATAATTTTTGTAATTTATTAAAAACTGTTTGTTATAAATTTATAAAATTGTTTTTAAAAAAAAAAATTTTTTTTAATTGTTAGAAAAATAATTTCTTTTTTAATTAAAGGTTCTCTACCAGTCGATTGTGATTTACGTTCCTGCGTTGGCATTAAATCAAGGTACAATTGTTTTGTTGATTACACTGTATCATTTTGTTATCTTTGAAAAGCGATTTTGATGTCTGTCTGTCTCTCTAATGTTAAATATTGATCTTTGCAGTGAGTGGAATAAATGTTCACTTAATCGGCACTATCGTCTGCTTGACATGCGTCTTTTACACAGTGTTGGTGAGTTTTATTTATTTTATATTAACATCAATGAACGTGCAATAAAATTTTAATCATTCTCCGCACGCACATTCAATTGTCAACAATTTACAAGTTGTTTTATCTCAACCTAATTTATCTTTTTTCTTCAAATTAAAAAAAAAAAAATAATTGCCTTTTAATTAGAAAGAAGATTATTAAAATAGAGACAATTTTCATTTCATTTGGAAAAAATTTTTTTAGTTTAATTTGATTTATTTATTAATTACATTTACAGGGAAAATTAATTATTTAATTTAATTAAATTAATTTATTAATAAATTAATTTTAATATAAAAATTTTATTAAAAATTCAAAATATTGTTTTCTAATGGTACAAAAAGGACAAAAGAAAAAAATTGTTTAAAAAAAATTTTTTTTTATTAGAAAAATTTGTTTAAAATCTCTTTAATTACAACAATGGTTTTTTAATTAAAAAAATGTTTTTTAATAGAAAAGAATTTCTTAATTAGAAAAATTTGTTTAAAATCTTTCTAATAACAAAAATGGTTTTTTAATAAAAAAAAAGATTTCTTCATTAAAAAAACTTGTGTAAAATCTTTTTAATTACAAAAATGGTTTCTTAATTACAAAAACGGGTTTTTAATTAAAAAAATTGTTTTGAATTGAAAAAATAGTTTTTTAATTGAAAAAAATGGTTTTTTAGTTGAAAAAAATTATTTTTAATTTGAAAAAATTGTTTTTTAATTGAAAAAAATGGTTTTTTAATAGAAAAAGGTTTCTTAATTAGAAAAATTTGTTTAATTACAAAAATGGTTTTTGTTTTTAATTTTAATTTAATTTTGTTTTTTTTAATTTAAAAAATTGTTTTTAATTTTAAAAAATTATTTTTTTTTTTAAAGAATTGTTTTTTATTAAAAAAATTGTTTTTTAGTTAAAAAAAATTGTTTTTTAATAGAAAAAAATTTCTTAATAAGAAAAATTTGTTTAAAATCTTTCTAATTACAAAAATGTTTTTTTTTTTTTTAAAAAAGGTTTCTTAATTAAAAAAATTTGTGTAAAATCTTTTTAATTACAAAAATGGTTTCTTAATTAAAAAAATTGTTTTTAATTAAAAAAATAGTTTTTTAATTGGAAAAATGGTTTTTTAGTTGAAAAAATGGTTTTTTAGTTGAAAAAAATTTTTTTTTTTAATAGAAAAAAGGTTTCTTAAATAGAAAAAAATTGTTTTTCAACAAAAAAATTTTTAATTAAATTTTAGTAAGTAATTAATTAACGCTCATGATAATTTGCAAATTAATATTCGGCTAAAGATAATAAAAATTAATTTTTTTACTTAATTAAAAAGTTATATGTAAAAGTAATAAAAAATTAGTTAAAAATTATATTTTTTTATTTAAAAACTAATATATAAATAAATGATTTTTCACAAAAAAAAAAAAAAAAAATTAGCTAGGAAACATTTACCCTCGATATGGTTTCAGTGAATCGTAGAATATCTGAAAAAAGAAATTTGTTCAATTAAGAAAGTGTTTCCTAAAAATTGATAAAATTGAAATTTTAATTAAATATTAAATTAATAAATATGTAATTCATAAAGTTTATTTAATTTCTAATACTCACTGTCAATTTTTATCTTCCAAAAATAATTAATATTGAAAGATTTTTCAAAATTTACAATAGTATTTTCATCATTGTGATCGAGAGAATTAAAATTTTCGCTTACAGACTGTAATCTATTTCAAATTGTTAAGAAAAATTTGCGAAATTTACATATTTAATAAATAGAGATAAATAATTAAGTTAATAAATAGAAAAATAAAATTTCTACCTTACCGACCGATGATCAAGAAGAATTCTTCATTTCCATCGGTCGGTAAATAAGGAATTTTTTTTCATAAAAATTCGTTTAAAAATTTTTTAAATTATATGGACACTAAAATTGTATGTAAATTTGGTAATTTATAAAAGGATACAGTGATGGATAATAATCCTGAGATTCTTTAGCCCAAAGGATTAATTTTTCCAGTCTTGGAATTAATGGAGTGCCATTAATTAATTGTTTCATTTCTAAATCTCTCAATGAAACTTTACTTCTCGCTTCTTCTATTCTTGCGAATTTATTTTTTAACTCCTGTTAATTTTTTTTTAAAGACAAAAAATTGTTAATTTTTTTTGAAAAATAAAAAAATAATATTAAAAAGGTAATTAAAATAATTATTATTAGCAAAAACAGTAATTAAAGTAATTATAAGTAGAAAAAAGTAATTAAAATGATTATTCCTAATTCAAAAAAAAAAATAAAATAAAATAAAGTAAAAATTTAAAAAAAAAATTTAGTTTGATAAAGAATAATAGAATTATTACACCTATTAGAAACGAAATAAAATAAAAAAATTTTAATTCAAAGAAAAATAATTTTAAAAAATATATTTGTAATAAATTAATAATATATTAGTAAAATTAGTAAAAATTCGAAAGAATAATTATACATTTTTTTTCTTACCTGATTAATTTTATTAAGTCGATTCAAAAAATTTCCAATGATTGCAATTTCATTTTGTATTGCACGGAATACTTTTATTTGCAATTTTTCCTTTAATCCATTTTGTTTATAAATTTCCGTCTGATCGGCATCGACACTACAAGAAATGAAAAATATTAAAAAGAATAAATTTACAAACATAATAAAAATAAAATTAAACTAATAATATTAATTTCTTTATTCCGCTTAAAAGTCGCCCCCACTGTGCTCAGTTTCATCTTACGCCCCTGGGTACAGTGCAGCACATTATTAAAACAATAATAAAATTTTTCTTTATCAAAATATTGTTTTATTACCATGAAAATAAACCAAAAAAGGAAAAAAAATCATTTTTTAATTTACTGGAGTTTTTTTTGCTATCTAACAATACATTTTATGGCAAAGAGAGAATATGTACATGTAACCTCAAAAATACCTTGTGATTAGTCGAAATTGTTCACAGAGACTTTTTAAACCATTTATTTGTTCTTTTGCACTAGAAATCACATCATTCCAGGTAGTTGATACAATTTTTAAATACGAATAATATTTTACAATTGATTTGTACAGTGTTTTTTCCATTTTTTGAAAGCACTTTTGTCAATATCGACGTACATCAACATTACGCGTTGAACACGTGCTCATTGTACAGTTGTGGCAATTAATGTTTTCTTTTTCTTCCCCAGGAACGTATGAATAGAAAATTAACAATTAAAATTTCATTTTCTATAATTTTGAAATTTTTTCCACTATTAGTTACCATTAGCTATTTCGGTAGAAAAATATTACTATTTGAATAGTCTCCACCCTTTGGTAAAGAATTATTAAAAATTATCAAAAATTCGAAAAACCGAATTTCTTAAAATTCAACATTTCTTCTTCTGTTTTATGCCATTTAGCTTCATTATTTTTGGGCTCTTCAAAAACACTTTACTTATTTAATAGTCTCCACCCTTTGGTAAAAAATCAAAAATTATTAAAATTTTTTTAAAATTCGAAAAACACTTATATTTTTAATATAACTTTAATTAATTTCTTCGAAAATTTCAATTATTTTTAAAAATCTTGAAGAAATTCTCCGAGACAATTCAATTATTAAAAAAAAATTGGAATTTTTCACAGGAATTCAATTACTTAAAAAACTTTTAATAAAATTCAATTCAAGAATTCAATTATTTTCATAAATAATGAAATTTTAACTGAAATTCAATTATTTTGAATACAATTTTAATTGAATACGAGGGAAAATTAAATTTTTTTAAAACATTTTTTAAAGATTCTTCGTAAGAATTCAATTATATCAAAAAATGGTAAATTTTAATAACATACTTCTTAAAAATTCACTTATTTTTGTAAAATTTTGCAAAAATTCAATTATTAGCAGAAATAATACATTTTTTTTTGCAGGAATTTGATTATTTAAAAAAAGTTTTAATAAAATTCTATTTAAGAATTGAATTATTTTTTCAGAAATAATTTAATTGTCGATGTACTTGTTTTCCTTCAAAATTTAATTAAAATTATATTAAAAATAATTTAATTTCTCAGAAGAATTTTATTATTTGCAAAAATAATTGAATTCTTGCCCAAAATTTAACAATTTTTAAAAATAATTGAATTCTTATGAAGAGAATTTTTTATCAGAATTGTTGAAAATAATTGAATTCTTATTGAAACTCTTCAAAATAACTGAATATAAATAATATTTTTAAAAATAACTGTATTCTTTTCAGAAATTTTATTAAAATTTTATTTAAAATCATTGAATTCCTCCGAAACATTTTATTATTGATAAAAATAATTGCATTCCTACGAAAAATTTTATTATTTCCGAAAATATTTTAATTTTTTAGAAAAATTTTCTTATTTATAAAAATAAGGAATTAAATTTTTGTAGAGGATATTGACAATTCATAAAAATAATTGAATCTTTTTTAACAATTTTATCTGAATTTTTTAAAATAATGATTTTTTTAAAAAGAATTTTATCAAAATTGTTAAATATAATAATTGAATTGCTCTAAAGAATTTTATTATCTATGAGAATAATGAAATTCTTGCGACAAATTTTATTAAAATTTTTGAATAATAATAAATATATCAATGGTAAAGAAGGTTTCTACACTACCGACCGTTGGTAAATTAGAGTTCTTCCTTAACATCAGTAGGTGATTCGTCCTATTTTTATATTTAGTTACTATAATGTTTAAAATCAATTAATTTTTTATAAAATCTTAATTACTGTATTAAATTTGATTGATTTGTGATTTGTAAATTTAAATATTTTTTTTTGTATTGCGTTTATTTATGTTTTTAATTTATTGACGTGATGTTTATTTTGTTGACTTTAACTAGGTAAAAATTGTTTTTTATTTTTTGTTTAAATTTAATTTTTTTTTTAAATTTTGTTGTATTAATTTTTATAAAGAAAATTTTTTCTATTAAAGTGACCTGATGATGGTGGCGAACCTGACCACCGAAACGTCGTCTATTTTATAAAAAAGTAAAAGAGTGTTTTTCTTTTACCTTTTATATACGCCTTCCAAAAATCGAAAAAATTAATTTATTACTGTATTAAAAAATTATTAATGTAATTACTAATAAAATATAAAAATACTATAAGTTACCAAGTTGCAAACGTAAATAAATCCTTCGTTAAGGGTAAACAAGGTTATTACATTACCGACCATGAGTAAAGTAGCGCTCTTCTTTACCACCAGAGGGTAAACCGATCTATTTTCAAATTTAGTTCATCTACTAAAATTGTATATTGAAATTTGAATACAAAATACTTTCAAATACCGATTGTGGGTAAAGTAGGGTTCTTCTTTACCATCCGTAGATAGATCGCCCCTTTTTTCATATTCAGCTTATTTTGCTATACTTCTATGATGAAATTTTTATAAAAATATTTTAAAACATTTATATTTTCTATCAAATGTTTCGAAATTAACTACCACGAATAAAAAATATTATATTATATTTATTTTTAATATATTTTCTATTGCGAATAACGATAGGCTTAAAGCAAAGGCTAAAATTTATAATACTAAAATATTGAACATATGGCGCGAAATTAAAAAAAAAATGTTCCCTTACATTATATTGTTTTTTTTTGTTTATTTTATAATTAAGCGTCCTTTTTTATCTCAAAGGGAAAATATTTTGTTTTTGAAAATTTATTGAATCTTTTTGAAGACTCTTAGCCGACACAATATTGTATATATATATATATAGTAGGTGGTGGGGTTTTGGATAAGAAATTCTGTCAAATCAAGTTTGAAATATTTATAGACGGAAACCAAGTGCTCACACAATGGGAGCCGGAAAACAATGGTAAACCATGTCGAGAGGCTGTTGGGTCACAAAAGCCGACTCTGAAGTGATTAATGGGTCGTGCATGTAATTATCCGAGCAATTTGTTGAGCCCCGCATTAACGAGAATTTATCGCGAATGAATGACTCTTTGCAAATTGTTTACCAGATTTTCGTTGCTTTAACAGAAAACAATGTCATGATAATCGTAAATTATCCTATTTATGGATTTTGAACAAATTTATTTTTATAATATTTTTACCTTTTAGAGAATTCTTTTTTTTTTTTGCTATAATTATAGTAAAAATTTGTTTTCTTTTTTTATTTTAGAAATTTAAAAATCGAAAAATTATATCTCTTTTCATTATTTTTATACCTTATTTTCATCGAGGTTTATAACTAAAGACAATTTTTTTTAAAAAGTTTGAGATTAAAATTACATTTTAAAAAATGACTCTTGAATTTCCCGCGTTTTATTTAAGTTTCGCTTTTTTTCCGCTTAAAATATTAAAAGAAAATTGTACTTCAAAGTTTTTTTTTCTATTTTTTTACACGTAGGGTCAAACCAATTTTAAAAAAAGACTTTTGAATTTCCCGCGTTAATTTATTTTTTGTTTTTTTCCGCTGAAATAGTTTAAAAACACTCAAATTATTAATATTTTAATTCATTGTTGAACCCTTTAAATTTGAAATTCCCGCCTAAAGATGTCACATACGTATTTTTGGCGGGAAATTTTGAATCATGTAGAAAAAAATAGTTAAAAATAAATTAAAATAGTAAAAATTTTTTTGTTAAAAATATAGTTGAAAAAAAATTAGATATAGAATAAAGTTGGTAATTTTTTAAAAAGAATTTTATTTACAGGGTGGTTTAAGAGCAGTTGTCTGGACGGACGCACTTCAAGTGGCTGTGATGGTAACCGCTGTGATAACTGTGACAATCTTAGGAACAATTTACATTGGCGGACCTTCGGCCGTTTGGCAGAAAGCCCAAGATGCCAAGAGAATACAATTTTTTAAGTAAATTTCAAATTTGAATTTAAAAAATTCGAAAAAAATTATTTTTTATTTAAAAAAATTCAAATTTCCCGCCACTTTTGCAAAGGAATTTTTCAAAATGCCAAGAGAATACAATTTTTGAAGTAAATTTCTAAAATAAATGTAAAAATTCATAAATATAATTGTTTTAATAAAAGAAATTCAAATTTCCCGCCTTTTTTACAAAGAGAAGGCAGGAGACGGTGAACCCCCGATTCAAAAGAATATTTTCGAATTTGGCGCGAAATTTGAAATATTAATGCAATTTTCTCAATTATTTTAAGTTTAAACTCGAATAATTTTAATTTCTTTCAGTTTTGACGTCTCACCGTACACTAGACACACAGTCTGGACTGTTTTATTTGGATCATGGCTCTACAGTATGGGCTATATTTCAGTAAATCAAACAATGGTGCAAAGATATACTTCTTTGAAAGATTTGAAAACATCAAAACTGTAAGTGAGTATTCTCAACTTTTTATTTCTTTCATTAAGGCTAGTTGGAAATTTAATAATTCTTAATGTCTTAATATTTAATTATTTTTGTTATTGTGATTTTTCATGTAAATTGGAATTAAATTTAAATAAATTAAGTTAGGTATGAAAATAATTAATAAAATAATTAGTAAAGTTATTAACAAAATAATTAATAAAATAATTAATAAAGTTATTAACAAAGTAATTAATAAAATAATTAATAAAATATTTAATAAAATATTTAATAAAATAATTAATAAAATAAATTAAATAAATAATAAAATAATTAATTAAATAATTAATTAAATAAATAATAAAATAATCTATATTAATAATCGTTGTGTTCGTCCCTGTAATCTGTTCGTAATTTAAAGTTAGTTGTTATTTGCTTTTTTGTTTCCTAACTTTTTAAATAATTTTTCTTTTTAAAAAAAATTTTCAATTTTAAAATTAAAGTATTAAAAATCATTGAATTCCTCCAAAAAATTTTAACCAAAAATTTGAAAATAATTGGATTTGTCCGAAGAATTTTATTATTTATAAAAATAATTGAATTCTCGCTAAGAATTTAAAAAAAATTATTAAAAATCCTAATTAAATTCGTTTGAAGAATTTCTTTGAATTTTTTTTAAATAATGAAGTTTCTTTAATCATTTTAACTGACTATTTATAAAGTAATTAAATTTTATGAACAATTTCTTTCAAGTTCTTTTTTTAAGTTTTTTTGAATATAATTTACACAATTTTAAAAAATTGTGTAAATAATTGATTCAAACTAGCTAAGATTTTTTTAACTTTTTAAAATAATCGTGTCTGTTAATAATAATTATAATTAAATATTTGATTTTTGAAGTTTATTAAAATTAATATTGAAAATAAATTAAATATTCCTGAGAAGATTTTTATTATTTTTATAAACATAATTTAATTCTTGTGATGAATTTTTCTACTTTTAAAAATAATTGAATTGTTTGGAAGGATTTATTAAAACTTTAGAAAATAATTGAAAAAAAAAATTTGAATTCCTTCATGAAATTTTATTAAAATTGTATTAAAAATAATTAAATTTTTCAAAAGATTTTTACTGCTTAAAAAAATAATTGAATTGTTTCGAAAGATTTATTAAAATTTAAAAAAAAAATTGTAAAAGAAATTTTAAACATAAATTTAATTAAATAAGAATTTAAATTTAAGAAAGTTGAAAATTTGAAATTATGAATAAATGGGAATTTCAAATTAAATTTAAAAATATAAAAATTTGAAAGTAGATTAAAAAAAACTAATATTTGAATTTAAATAAATAAAAATTACAAATTAAATTTTAAAAAAATAAAAATTTAACTTACAAATTTAAATAAATAGTAATTTGAAAGTACATGAATATGCAAATTAATAAATTAATTAATAAATGCAAATTTAAAATTGAATTTAAAAAAATAAAAACAAACAAATTTAAATAAAATTGAAATTTGAAACTAAATTTAAAAAAATAAAAATTTTTAATGTGTTTTGAAAAGAATTTAAACTAAAATTCTTTTTACGTTAATTTTCATTTAATAATAATTATTTAAATTTTAATAATTAAATTATTTATTATTTTTTAATTTCATTGAAAAAAAAGAATAAAAAAAAATTGTCTATTAGTAAAAATAAAAAAATTTGTTTCCTGTTTAACTTTTTTTTTAATTTATCGTTTTTTTTCTCATCGGAGATCAATAGCAATTTTTACGATTGGCGTAATGGCGTTTATTTCATTGTGCTGCTGGTGTGGACTTGTTCTATTGGCCTGGTGGTCGCCACCAAAGTGTGATCCAAGAGCAAGTGGTCTAATTATTGCTGACGATCAACTTTTGCCCGCTTACGTCATGGAAATAGCGGGCAAATATCACGGTGTGCCCGGTCTTTTTATTTCTGGTGTTTTTGGAGCCGCGCTCAGGTAAAAAACAGTAGATGCATTATTTTTCTTTCAAAAAATGTTTTTTTAAAAAAATTTTTTCTTTTTGGAAATTTTTTTTATTTTTGAAGAATTTTATTTTGATAATTATTTGCATTTTAAATTTATTATAATTTTTATCTATTATTTTTGATAATTATTTGCATTTTAAATTTATTATAATTTTTATCTATTATTTTTGATAATTATTTGTATTTTCAATTTATTAAATTTTTAATAATTATTTGTATTTTTAATTTTCTATATTTTCAGTTTATTCAATTTATTAATTTTGATAATTATTTGTATTTTTAATTTATTATATTTCCAATTCATTATTTTTGATAATTATTTGTATTTTAAATTTATTCAATTTATTAAATTTGATAATTATTTGTATTTTTAATTCATTATATTTTCAATTCCTTGTTTTTAATAATTATTTGTATTTTAAATTTGTTATATTTTCAATTTATTCAATTTATTATTTTTGATAATTATCTGTATTTATAATTTATTATATTTTCAATTTATTCAATTTATTATTTTTGATACTAATTGTTTGTATTTTTAGTTTATTATATTTTCAATTTATTTTTCATAATTATTTCAATTTTTAGTATTATTTTATTTTCAATTTTCGTTTTTGATAATTTTTTGTATTTTTAATTTATTTGATTTTTAATTTTCGATTTTGATAATTATTTACACTTTTTATTATTTTGTATTTTTTTATTATCTTTTTTTTTTATCTTTTCATTTTTTTTTTATTATTTTTTTGTCATTTTTAATTTACGGCGTTTTAAACTTTTTTTCGCTCAATTTATTCTTTTAAGTATTAATTTTTTTTTTGTGAAAATTTACTTCCAGTACCTTATCGGTTGGACTTAATTCAACGTCAGTGGTTCTTTTGGAGGATTTTGTGAAGGGATACTTTAAATTGAAGCCCACCGATCGATGTGCGAGAATATTTGTTAAAAGTATTATCATTATTCTTGGACTACTTGCGCTCGCACTTCTTTTTCTTATTGAAAAATTAGGAGGTGTTCTTTCGGTACTGATAATATTTTTTTTGTAATTTTAAAAAAAAGAAGAAAAAATTTTTAGGAAAAAATAAATTTTGAAAAAAAAAAATATTTTTTTCAATTCGAATATTTTTCATTACAGGTGACCAGCAGTTTGGCAGCAATTGCTGCTGGAACTTCTTTTGGAGTTTTTACTTTAGGCATGTTGTTCCCCTGGACAAATTCTAAGGTGAAGTTTACAAATTTATTTTTTGGAAAAATAGAAACAACTTTTTTTACTTTAATTTATTTTTATATTATTTTTACGTATTTTGTATTTTGATTATTTTTATAATTAATTTATTTTTATATTCTATTAAACTTTTATATTTTATTTAAAATTGTATTTTTTTATTTTTATATTTCGTTTATTTTTGTATTTTATTTACTTTTATGGTTTGTTTATTTTTATATTTTATTTACTTTACACATATTTTGTTTATTTTTATATTATATTTACCTTTATATTTTACTTATATTTGTATTTTATTTATTTTTATATATGCTATTTATAATATTATTTTGTTTATTTTTTATTTACTTTTATATTTTAATTATATTTTATTTTATAATTTTATTTATTTATTTTAAAGAAATGAAAAATCTCATTACATCCCCCAACGGTCACCCATCTAAATATTAACCGCGCTTAACGCTGCTTAACTTCCATGATCGGACGAGAAGTACTCACTTGCATCGTGATACCCAGACTCACATTTTTATTTTATTTATTTTGATATTCTATTTCCTATTTTATATTTTATTTTTCATTTACAAATGTAATTTTCTTTTATTCTAAATTTATTTTTATGTTTTAATTGATTTATTATTTTATTTAATTTTACATTTTATTTATCTTTATTTTTTATTAAATTCTCATCATTTTTTTATTATTATTTATAATATTTTTAATAAATTTATTTTTTTTATATTTACTTTAATATTTTTTTGTTTTATAATATTATTTTGTTCTATAAATTAAATTATGAATTAAAAAATAAATTTTTCCTACAACAAAAATTAGGGTGCTTTTGTTGGTGCAATAGCAGGATTCGTGATATCCGGTTGGGCGAGTCTTGGGGCAAATGCAGCAATTGGTTCCGGTATTGTGATGCCAAAAAAATTGCCAGTCGACTATTCGTATTGTCCAGGAAATATCAGCGAATCATTTTTGGATCAATTTAAATACGTTGAGTGAGTTTTTGCTTTCTTAGAAAAATATTTTCCTCATCTTTTTCTTTATTATTAAAGACAAAAAAAAAACTGTTAAACTTAAGAAAAATAATATTTTTTATGATAAATAAAAATAAATAAATATAAAATAACAAAAAAAAATGTTTTGTTTAAAAAATTAAACAAAAATATTGAAATTATAATAAAATTAAAACAGAAAATTATAAAAAACTATATTGATAATTAAAAGAAAAATTGTCAAGACTATTAAAAATTATAAAAAATTGAAAAAATGTATAAAGTTTAAAAAAAGTATAAAAAAAAATTAATTAATTTAAAACTACTCTTGTTTGAACGCATTTTTAAGTTTGAAAATACTGTTCGGCTGAAGGCGAGTGGTGGGGGTAAGGCGCAACGATACGTTTCTCGCGCATTATCCCCCCTACTTGTATGTATTGATTGGCGCGAAGTTTTAAACTTTCAGGCTGCTTGATCTTTTACCAAAAATTACAATTTTTTAAAATTAATTTTTTATTATTAATTTATTTTTTATTTATCTATATTTAAATATTTATTAATATTATTTATTTAATAATATCATTCATTTAATTAATTATTCTTGTTTTGAAGTTTAGGCCAAAGAATTAATTATATTTAATTTTTTCTATTTTTAATGTATTTAATTTATTTAAATTTAATTAATAAATTTATTTATAATTATAGTAAATAAAATTGTCGTCTTATTATAATTTATGGAAAAATATTTTTAAATAAACAAAAAAATTTGCAATTTTGGTAATTAAATTTTTTCGTTTCAGTGAAGAAGACGTGTTTCCTTTTTATCGACTGTCTTATCATTGGTTCGCTGGTTTGGGAACAATTGTTGTTATTGTGGTGGGAATAATCGTCACTTTGATAACTGGACCACTAGATCCTTCTACTGTCGACAGGTCATTACTTTCACCAGTAATTCACAGGTAATTTTTTTAATTACTATTGAAATTAAATTAAAATAATTTTTTAAATTATTATAACTAAATAAATTAAATATTAAAAAAAAATAAATTAAATTTAACTTATTTTTATTTTATTAATAATTAATTTATTCAACCGTTTTTTCGGCGTGTTCTGAATAAAAAAACACTGCGCGCGCTAAGAAGTGGGAGTGACGCAAAACGACCAATCGCTGTGCTGCCCCCACTCCTTTACACGCTGCGCGCGCAGTAGCCGAAAGTTATTTTTTAAAGTTTTATTCACTATTATATTTATTTAATATTTAATTTTTTTATCATTTAGACAGTGAAAAATTTTTTTTTTGCCTCTAGTTTAATTTTCAAAAAGTTTTTGTTTTCAAATTTTTTATTTATTTTATTTTATTTAGAAATTAACAGGCAAAAAAGCCTTTGAATACAAAAAAATTTATTAAATTATTTTTGTAATTAAAAATATTTTTAAATTATTTTGTTATTTTAAACAATAAAAAAATTATAATTGCAGATGGTTACCGAGACCGGGTTACTATGACGAAAGCGGAAATTGGAGGCGGCCGTCGAGTCAATTTTCGGATTTTATAAATCATCGACACAATCCAAATAGCGAAGTAACGAAATTTTAAATATTTTTTTTTCTATTTTATTTTTCCAATTTAGCGAATTAAATTTTCTGGACTCTAATATGTAGAGTTGACGAGAAAAATAGCAATGAAGTATTTTTTTAGGACTTTTCTAAACCTCCAAAGTTAAATTCATCTGGAAAAAATTTTTTATTTTGCAAATGAAATATTTTTATAGAAAAAGCTTTTTTACAAGAAAAAAACAATCAACTCTTTTATGAAGTGAGAATTTAGAAAAAACAATTTTTGTTTAAATTGTACTTAAGACAATTTTTTATTAATAAAATAAAAAATTATTTTTATAAAACAGTTTTTTATTCATAAAATAAAAAATTATTTTTGTGAAACAATTTTTATTTAATGAAATATAAAATTATTTTTTAAAACCACTTTTTTAAGAAATTATTTTTCAAATGTTCAATTTTTGATAAAATTATTTTTCCAATACACAATTATGAATAAAACATTTTTTATTAGAAAACAATTTTAAATAAAAATAAAATAATAACTTTTAATAAAAATAACATTATTTTTACGAATTTAGAAAAAGATTTTTAATAATTTTTTTTTTTGAGTTAAAAAAATACAGAAAGGGGTTAAAAATAAAAATGGGGGTAAAATAGAGGAGTTAAAAAATAGAGAAGGGGTTAAAAATAGAGAAAGGGGTTTGAAATAAAAATGGGGGGGAAAATAGAGGAGTTAAAAATAGAGAAGGGGTTAAAAATTAAAAAACGGCATAAAAAATAGAAAAGGGTTAAAAAATAGAGAAAGTGGTGAAAAAAATTTTTCTTTTTTTCAGGGGTTAAAAATTTTTTTTCACAGGTTTAAAAAAAATTTTTCTTTTTCTATTCTATATGAAAAATTAAGTCACCCTGAGGTTTGTGATTTTAAATGAGATTTTCTATCGTGGCAAATGTCGAGAGTTGACACCCGAGTTCTGTAACTGAGTTTGTTCGGTTTTCAAGCTCTAGTGATTTTCAGTCGTCCGTGATTCTCCAGAAGCCAAAGATCAAGTGCCCTCGGGATATTTCCTCTAACTCGTTAACGAATAAGAAATCTTGTTAAATTTTCCATTAGAAATCAAAAAAACTTTTTCCGGGCACACACGAAAATCAATTTTACAAAGAAAAAAAAAACAGAAAAATATTTATTTTTTTGTATATAGAATATTTTTTAAAAAATTTATAAAAACTATTAAAAAATAATTTTTTATAACACAATTCAAAAATTATTTTTAAAAATAAATTTTTCTAAAAATTATAAAAAAAATATTAAGGGCTTAGCCCGTGTAAGAATCTTAAATAAATATTTTTTTTTATTATTAAAAAATTACTGTTTTTTTAAATTATTTAAAAATTATTAAAAACATTTTTTTTAAATTATTAAAAAAAATGACTTTTTTAAAAATGATTTTTCTTTAAATTATTTAAAAATTATTTCTATAATATTTTATAAAAAGTTATTTGAAAATTATTTTTATAAAATTTTTGTAAATAAAATATATTTTTAATGATTAAAATCAATTTACATGTATTTTTGTCTATGAAAAATATTTTTTTTTAAAATTATGTTAAAAACATTTTTGTAATTATAAAATATTTTTTTGTAGAATACATTTCATTTTGAATTATTTTTAAAAACATTATTTTTTGTATATATGTAAAATAAAAATTTAATATAGTTTTTTTTAAATTTTGTTTTTTAAGAGAAAACATTTTAATAAAATAAAATTTCATTTTAAATTATTATTAAAAATATTTTTTGTATCTCTGTAAAATTCAAATTTTTTGTAGTTTTTTTTTAATTTTATTTTTGAAATGGAAACATTTTAATAAAATAATTAAAAATATTTCTAAAATTAATATCAAAACACTTTTTTAAAGCTTATTTAAAAGTTTTGTGAAAAATCTATTTTTTAAGATTATTTTAAAAAAACTTTTTAAAAATTATTTCAAAAAAAATTTTTAAAAATTATTTCAAAAACATTTTTTAAAAATTATTTTCAAAAACCTTTCTAAAAAATTATTTCAAAACTAGTTTTGTTGAAAATCTATTTTTTTAAAATTATTTTTAAAATATTCTTTTTAACTCTATTTAAGATTTACTTGTAAATTATATTTTTTAAGGGAACATAGTCAGGGTTGGACGTTTTTTTAAAATATTAAAAAAAAATATATTAAAAAAATGTTTAAATAATTTTCTCTTTTGTTAAAATATAGAGAAATATGATATAAATAAAAAATAGAAAGAAAGGGTTAAAAATAGAAAAAAGAGTAAAAAATACAGAAGTTGAAGAATAGAGAAAGGGGTTAAAAAAGTAGAGAAAGAAATAAAAAATTTTGCTTTTTCTTCTTAAAAAAATAAATTTAAACCTATTGTTTTAAAAAAACAAATTTTTTTGAAATATTTAAAAAAAATATATTAAAAAAAAATTTTTAATTAATTTTCTGTTGTGTTAAAATATAAAGAAATATAATATAAATAAAAAATATAAAGAAAGGGTTAAAAGTAGAAAAAGGGTTAAAAAATAGAAAAAATGGTAAAAAATACAGAAGTCGAAGAATAGAGAAAGGAGTTAAAAATACAGAAGGGGTTAAAACATAGAAAAGGGGTTAAAAAAATAGTGAAAGAATTAACAAAAAATTTTCTTCTTTTCCTTTAAAAAAAATAAATTAAAAACTATTGTTTTAATAAAATAAATTTTTAAAAAATATTTTAAAAATTTTTTTTAAAAAATCAGTTAATTTTGTCTTTTGTGGGTAAAAAAAATTATTTTTCGTAATTTTGTCAGGATCTTTCGTAATGCAAGAGGGAAAGAGGGAGGGAGATAAAGTGAGAGAGTGAGAGAGACTAATTTGGAATTAATGTAGTGAACTATAGGTTGGATGGTGCATGGAAGAGACACGTCGTGGCTTGAATGGAGTTAGTTTGAGATAGTTAGCGGGCCTTCAGAAATACAATCGGCCACGATTGGCGGGCCTACAATCACATGTCCCATTATATGAAAATTAACGCCTTCGCCTTGTAAATGCACATTTTAATCAAGCGTTACTTCATTAAAAATTCGATTTATCCCCCCTCCTCTCTTCCCCTTTTCTCCCCGTCGCACGAGTCAAACAAAATTATTATTATAAACAAAAATTATTTTCAACTTTAAATTGCAAATAATATAGTTTCTTTTAAAAATTAAAATATTTATTTTTTGCCTGGAAAAAAATTATTAATTTTTTTTTTAAATTAAAATAAATTTTTTTTTGAATTCAATTTTTATTTATAATTTTTTAATAATAAATAATAAACTAAATTAACTGGGATAGAAGAACAAAATATTTTCTTATTATTTTTAAATAATAGTAAACTATAAATTAACTGAAATAGCAAATTAAAAAATATTTTCATATTTTTAAAAATTCCCGGGTATAAAAAGCGCGGGAAAATTTAAATTACAAAAAAGTAATTTTCTATAAAATTAAAAAAAATCAATTTTTGTATATTTTTTATAATGAATTTTCCATTTTCCTAAATTTCAATGTAAAGACTAAAATTTAGCCAGAAGGTTTTGAATTTGGATAAGAGATTAATTTATAAGGGGGTATGGGAGTTGTGTAGAAACCTCAGATCAAATATCAACGTCGCAGTGACGTTTGATAAAGAGATAGACTGACGGAATAGCTAATTTATCAATTCTTCGGTTCGGTTGGCTTCGATTCCTATCGCTGTGTTTGCAAAGTCATAGTAAACAGACTCGAAAATTCCTCAACGAAATGTGTATCATATATATTTGAACGTAAACTAAGTCCTTTAAACCCTAGTGTGTGATGATAGGAAGCAGTGAATCGTCTATCTCGAAATTCGCGCAGTATCACAGTAGAAAAGGAAGGAAAAACAAAAAATCTTTTATTTTTTTAGTCCTTCTTTTTTTTTGCAAATTTCTACAAAATTTAATTAGTAATTTCCATGTTTTTTATATATATATTATATATTTTATATATCTTTCTATATTTTATGTGTAAATCGTCGTTATATAATAAATATTGTACTTATAAAGAGAAAATTGTGTTTTTTTTAATTTCCCGCCATTTTTTGAATGACCGTTACTTGAAATTTAAATTTCCCGCCATTTTTTTAACCGTTATTCAAAATTTAAATTTCCCGCCCTTTTTTCAATAAAAAACAAATATTTTGCTTATAAAGAGAAAATTGTATTTTTTTATATTTCCCGCCCTTTTTTATGACCGTTATTCGAAATTTAAATTTCCCGCTATTTTTTATGACCGTTATTCAAAATTTAAATTTCCCGCACTTTTTTTTACTGACCGTTATTCGAAATTTAAATTTCCCGCACTTTTTTTACTGACCGTTATTCGAAATTTAAATTTCCCGCACTTTTTTCAATAAAAAAACAAATATTTGATATTTAAAACTTAAACCCGCCATTTTTTTATTTGGCTAATAAAAGAATTAGTTTAAGTTCCTAATCTAAAATAAAAATTTTATATTGTTTACAATTTTTTTTAATTTTAGATAATTTAAATTTGCCGCTCTTTTTTTTACAAAAAACCGTTATTGGAAATTTAAATTTCCTGTCCTTTTTTTATAGAACGCAAATGAAAGTAGCAGTTTCAGTCAAGAATAAAGAAATATTATTCGTTTACAAATTTTTTTTTTGAAAATTTAAAATTGCCGCCAGTTTTTTAAAAAACCGTTATTCGAAATTTAAATTTTCCGCCCTTTTTACTACGCAAATGGAAGAGTCAATTTAAGTCCCTATTAGTCTCCAATAAAGATTTTCTACTGTTTTAATGTTTCTTTTTCGAATATTTAAATTTGCCGCCCGTTTTTTATAAAAACCGTTCTTAGAAATTTAAATTTCCCGCCTTTTTTTGATTTCTTTTATAATAAATAGTTTGAGTTGACAATTAAAGATTTAAATCGTTTACAATTTTTCTTCTTTGGATAATTTAAATTTGCCGCTCTTTTTCTAACGAAACGGTTTTGCGAAATTCAAATTTCCCGCCTTTTTTCACAGATAAAAAAGTAAAAAAATAAAAGGTTTATTATTTCGAGAAAAAGAAGTGGAAGAAGATGAAGAAAATTCAGTTGAAAATAGACAGGAGAGGAGAAGGAGTTGTCATTCTCTGAGTTGAAATGGCGAAGGCAAGCAAGACATTAAGCGTAATGAATTACCAGACGAGGAGAGGAGCAATGTGTCTTAATTAAGGCCTGTGGCACAATAATTATGTAATTATGCATTGTTTGCCGACCAGCTTCTAATCACAATTCCCGCTATTGCAATTCCGTCTTGTC